GCTAATTATAATGATTTAAAAAAAACAAGTGATAATATTCAGCTATCAGTTTGTGACCCTAATCCGGAGAGCAAATTGGTTATCAGCAGTAAAATGATTGTTTTATTCTGTTCAGAGGGTAATTAGAGGGTTGGTTCAGTTAGCTTGTTTCCTTTGATAAAAGAAAAACACTGTTTAAAAACTTCAGTTCGGTTCAATTCTATTCAGTTTAGCTTTCAGTCAGATCATACAATCAGATTGGTTCATCATTTTCCATCTAAGGAAAACCAGCTGAGTGCATCAACTCATTGACTTTGCAGGATTTGCTCCTCCTGAATGAGCATGTGTCGACAATATATATAATCACTTTTACTGTGTCATTGACTCTACAGCAATTCCTAACAATGAGCATGCATGCAGCGACAGTGGAGAGGAAAAACCCCCTTTAAACAGAAAGAAACCTGCAGCAGAACCAGGCACAGTGTGAGCCAAGTCTGTTGAGAAGACAGAAGCAGACATAAAAAGGGATCATGGATGGACTGATACATAGAAACTTTGTATGTTAGAAAGATAACTGTAACCTTTGCTCCATTCGTTGCTCTGTCTAGGAAAGAAACAGTTAAGCAGATGAGCTATTAGTCGGTTTTCATGCCAAAATGGATGAAACAGAGCACATGGTTAGTCACAGTAAAAACCAAGCCTATAGCTGTGTCTAGTGAAGAGACAGGACTAAAGATTGAAAAACAGCTCCAGCCCTATCATCTCTAATCAAAGATGTTGATGGCAGCAGCCCAGCTGATACTTCCATCCAAGATGGTGTCAAAGATTAACAGAGCCAGACCAGACAAAGCTACTATGACAGAGGTCACGGGTTAGCGGACCGCGGTCCGGATCCGGACCCACCTGGAATCCGGAAGCAACATGATTTAAAACATTTATAAATTACCACACCCCACATCCTCCATCTCTGCTCTTTCCCGCTACGCTCCAGACCTCCTGAGTAAAGCAAAGCCTACAGCCTCCGCTGTTCCTCCGACTTATCCCCGGGGCTCAAGGAGAGCATGCGCTATATCATTATATTCAGGAGCAAAACATTAAATTAATGCTTCATTTGTTATGACATATAAAAAAAATCCCCACCATCATCCAGCCAGCATATGTTCAGTTTCTCCACAAATATTTTCGTTTTGTTGTGGATTTTTTAACAGGGATAACTAAGATCATCCATAATTTGTATGAACTATGTTTGCTCTCTGCTTCCAAACTCAGCATCTCTTTATCCAGACCTGAGATGAAAAGTTTCTTCTGAAGTTGTGAGAGGCGCTCTTAGGCATTTTGACTGGATTTGATGAAACTTTTAAGCCTCTTAGTATAAAATAAATATTTTGATGAAGATGAGAAATCTGCTTCCTGGTATGTTGAGGTACTAATAGTTTGCATCCAATCATTTAATTTAAAGTTTGTTTGTTTTTTTTTGGGGGGGGGGGGGGGGGGGGGGGGGGGTATATAAGCTGACGAATGAGCCTGCAATGGCTTGAGAATAGCTTGGTCTCCATTCAAACCCAATTTAAAGCCTTGCAGCCTAAAGCTGTTTTTTGTAAAAAGTCAATGTATAACGTGGATGCATAAACACTTCATTTTATTTCAGTGTTAAATTCTGTTTAAAGTAAGAGATTATAATTAAAAATGTCTTGGAACCCTTGCTGGTTGATGATTTTCTTTATTCGGACCCGGCTGATTTTTATTTGTTCTATTGATGGACCCTTACTCTCAGCAATATCAACGTCAACTAATCTGTAAATGTTTTCTACAAGGATTTAGGAGGAAACTAGAACTGCATCCTTTGTTCTAATTTATCTCAGAGGTGTTCTCTATGGGTGAGATCCTGAACTGGTCCATTGGCTCAGACTGTGCAGGCCAGTCAATCTGCTCCACACCAAACTTTATACACGTGCAGCCATCGAGGCGACTGGGACATCTGGTGGTGAAACTCAATGCTAAAGGCCATAAAGCATGTTTAATGTATCAAAGACAATCGGCTGAACTACAAAGCATATTTAGAGGCTTACAGTTATGAGTTGCACCTCTACTTTAAAGAGTAAACTTTTTGCCCAAATATTTAATGAAGGTTTCCTTAAAGGTATAGTGGAGGATGTTAATTTTCCGGGTGGATCATCAAAATAAGTGGTCCTCCTAATTGCTCGTCACCCTTTCACTTATCGGTAGTCATAGTGGAAAAATTGCAAATCTTCTTTTGGAAAGTAAGCTTTTATGAGCGATGCAAACAGCAACTTTTAAAGAGAGCATGCACGAGGTTGTGCATGTGCATTTATCTCCAAAATTCACGAAAATCCTCCATTATACCTTTAATGTTGACCTGTTCTTTGTATGGAGATGGTAGCTGTTTGCTGTAACTTTCAGTCATCACAGGAAAGAAGAAATGTGCTAAACCCTGTGACACTTCCTTTCAAGAAGCTTTGTCCAGAAACCAGGGATGTAACTTTGCAGAAACTCTGCATCTGCTGCCCCATTGGCTGGTCTGGTAGAGGTGTCAAATGAAAGGCGCTCATCCAGAGACCTGAAATCTGCATGCATCTAATTCCTCAAACAGCTTGAATTCTGGGTGTGAGCTGCACAACGTTCCAAATGTGTGGATGCACTGTGCATGCATTCAAAGCGATACACAGCAGTTAAAATCAGTTCAGTTAAACTAGCATGTAGCTTTGATGTGATGCATACAGATTGCAAAATCAGATAATGTAGATTTTAAATATATGCAGTACTAAAGCAGCAACTTTATACTTTCCTTCTCTTATAAATGATGCAACAAGGCTGGGAAGAAAATTTAGATACTTCTATATTTAAGTATATGTATAAAACAATATTTTAATCTTTGAATAAAGGACTAAATGAGATTAACTGAATTTATGCCATTTAGTTCTCAGAGTTTAACCTATCGGAGTGTTACCGTTTCGTGTCACTTCATTTGAATGGAAAAGTGATTTTGAAATTATGTGTCCTTATCTTAAAATCTCACTCATCAGTTTAAACAGTGGAGAATTTGCCAAATAGCATCAAAGTAAAAAGAAAATAAGCATTCTGGATTACGAACATGTTAACAAAGCACTTCTGACACAAATTCAGCTCGTTTTTTTTACTGTATTTTATGGCCCGAACTTCAAAGTTTTTATCCCTTTGTGGTGACAATCACCCTGTGATGTTTACTACTAAAAGGTTTTACCAACTTTATTTTCCTTTATTGGCTTCCAGCTACCAGCCAAATCTACCATGGAAGGTTCACAGGAGCTCAGACATTCTGAAGCAAGATCCTTGGTTTATATTATGGCCTGGAGATCTTTCTTTAGGGAGTTTCCATGTTCTCTCCATGTATGCATTGCGCTCTCCATTATTCTTACACATGACTTTGCTTGTGCATGGTTATCTCTCCTGTTTGATTCTGTGTTTCTGCTAATGAACTGTTGGCCCATGTGAGGTCTTACCATTGTCTCATCCATTGACTCCCTGAGGCACAAGCATTGACATGTAGTTATACAAGGAATGGATGGATTTTCAATCAAAATGATTGCTTCATTGCTAAAAAAAACTATAGCAATGAAAGAAACATTAAGTCAATAAAATTAAAGTTGACACATTGACTGTAAATTAGAAGACATTTAAGGAAGTAGAAATGCGTTTCTAGACTAACAGATATCGATCTGGAGCAAAAAACATAACATTTTCTCCCATGGTAATAAAATGCTTTACATCTAATTATATAAATAATTTCCTAATTATTTGTTTTTTTGGAATACAAACACCTCTTTATTATTAAGTCCATAAACCTTATTCCAGAACAGGTTTTCTATAGATCTTCCGATATATCAGGCCATGAAGAAGGGATCCATTTCTCAGCTATCTATGTCATGCTTTTGGTTCTGTTTTCTTTTCTATTTGGGTTGTCATTGGTTTTATTTCCATTTCGTGTTATTCTACTTGTTTCTGGATGTAACTGAGTCCTTTTCTATTTCTTGTTTATCCTCTGCTGCCCTCTTGTGTCAGTCTCCTTCTTCTAGCTCCCTTCTAGAATCTTCTGTCCACACCTGCTCCCAATCTGCTGGTTAAGCCAGTCTTTGTTCCGTCTCCCATTTATACTCCTCTTCAGTACTGTTTGCTTGTTCCTTGTTGTTTCTTGGCTCCTCATATGTGTTTTCCCTGATGCTCCTGGTTTGTTGGTTTTCTGTGTTTTGTATTTGGTCTTTGCTTCTGTTGCCTTAAATCCTGCATTCAATTTGCAATAAACTACCTCAACGTCCGTTTCTGCATTTTAGGTCCTCAAACACTTTCACACAACCTGACAATCCAGCTCTGATCGATCAGATTTCATTAGAATTAAAGTAAAACGTCTCCCCAAGAATCTGGATTCTTTGTGCTGAACATGATTGACACTTTTCTAAGACAGAGAAATAACCTAACGGGCTGAGAATTATGATGAGGAAAATCTATTGCTGCCTTTGCTAAAGATTCTTAAACAGTTTTACAGTAAAATAAAATTTTCATGTTGATAGCTGGATCTCCCTCCTATAATACCAAAGGAAAAAAAGTTGTAACTCTGATTTTTGAAAGAGGAACAAACCCCACAGCATCACACAGCCACCACCGTCCTTTACATGCATCATGCTAAACTGCTTTTCCGCTTGTCTATCCTTTGTTTTGTTATTAATTCAACAGGAAATCTTGATGTAACCACTCCATATATTTATGCTTGTGATGGTAGAATGAAAAAGACTTTGAAAAACATCTGATCACAATTTCAATATTTCCTAAGGAAAAATATATTTCAAATGCATTCTAAAAAATCTCCAATAACTTTTACCTTAAGGGATCTTTAGGAGCCAGAAGTAATATGGCTAAAAAAGAAAACAACTAGTGATCACTCAATCTAAAGGTTGTATTTTTCAAAAATGTTTCAGTGTGAGATTATAACACTGGAATAAAATATTTTATTTTAAGGGGTTTTTTAGTTTTTCTTTTACACATTTTTACCAGGGATGTCCATAAATGGGGTGTTGCAAATCATAATAACCAGATGTGATCAAAATCAGAGGACTTAGGGATCAATGTGCAATACCGAGCAGTTGGAATATGAATGTAGTTTGTATTGTAAACAAGAGCAGAGATATAAATACAGTCAAAGTCTATCGGATTGTTTTCATTTGAGTACAAAAAGCTATAAGAAAAGTCATAGCACCCGTCTACAAAGATTTCCTCATTGCTTACACATCATTTATAAAGGTAACACACAACTCTGGAGGAAGACATTCGCTGGGTTGCAACTAATATTTCATTAAATATGCAAATGCATGATATTTTTTAAAGAAAAATACCTTCAACACATTATACTTGGTTACATTATATATGTGATACAAACAGATGTGCAGCTTCAGGAAAAGGAGAAAGGCACAAAGGAAGAAAAAGCACAATTGCTGTTTTTTTTTAGCACTCACACTGAACGGGTTCGAGTCAACACTGACCTGCTGTCAAGCATTAGAAGAAATAGCAAAGATATGTAGCACTGAGGCAACAAGGCGGCACAGAGTCACAGCTCCATATTCATGTGAAAGCAAGCGATCCTAACTGATGACTTAAATTACAGCTCAGCTGACCCAACTAAACACATTCACAAGGTGCTTTAAGCTGAATTAAGTACAGTATCTCATAAAAGTGTGAAAACCCCCAACATATTTGTAAGTATTGAATTTCATCTTTCCATGGGACAGTAATAAAGATATGACACTTTGATCTACATTAAAGTAGTAGGAGCAGCTTATAAAATAGGGTAAATTTGTTATCTCCTTAAAATCAACACACATACATAAAAAAAAATAATTGACCCAAGTTTTAACATGTCACATGGTCACCTTTATTTTCCAGGCTTAACTTGGAGCTTTACTGGAGCTTCACAGGTTCCTACTGGTATCCACTTTATGGCTTTTAGCCAACTTTATGTTGTCAGCAAAATACATAGATTTTTCCAGCTTCTGTTTGAGGATGCCTCACAGATCCTCAGTACAGCTTATGTCTGTATGCATGCTCACCACTATTAGTTTCTTTAACAAACCAATATTAGGGTGAGTGCAGACAGAAAAGCAATAGACTGGAGAAAGACGAAGGGCATAGACTGTCTGTGCCTCTCACTGGAAATACAAGAGGAGGACATGATAAATGATTTAATAGTCTTTTTAAGAGCTAATTAGATTTTTTTTTTCTTAAAAGCCAACCACAAACTCTTAGGGGCTTTCCTTATTTCATCTTGTGTCAACATTATTTTTTCCGTCTTCCATTTTGATTGATAAAACGGGATCTCTGCTGCGCTCCTTCAACCTGCCTCAGATGCATCCGGTCCCCAATTTAGATTTTTCCATCCCAGCTACTGTTGCTTTGCATCCATCGCAGGTGTTGTGCGTCTGCTGCATCACTGAATCTCCAAAATCGCGCCTCTGGCGTCACTAGAAATGTGTGTCGCAGCACTCCTGTACATAGAGCTAACGGGTAAACGGGTTTACCAAGAATGCATTCGGTAAACAGGTCTGAGGTATGAGGGCCTCATAGATAGCAGCTCTAAACTATGACACGCCCACCACCGTGCTTTTACAAAACATGGTTATCACTAGACCTGTTGAACACCACCTGAACCAAAAAGTTTATCCTGGTTTCATCAGACAGCATGATATGGTTTACGGTAATCCTCAACATTAACTCTGCCTTCAACAAACTAATTTATGGTTTGTCATCCTTAGAGGTTTCCTTCTTAAATACCAGTCATGCAGACCAATTGAATGCAGTAAAAATTTCACAGATTTTTTTCTCTACACTTAACTTCTTTGGTCTTCCATGATGAAGCCTGTTCTGAGTGGAGCCTGTACCTGTTAAACCGAGCCAGCCAACCGAGCTGCAGCTCAGTTTCAGGCTGTTATCAATCTTCTTATGGTCTAAAGCATCTTTATGTAACCCAATTAGGTCCTTAATGAGTTATCTACCATGGGGTTAACTTCCACTGTTTTCCAGTGTCGTCCCACTAAAGCAGAGATGGGAAGTAACGAAGTACAAATACTTCGTTACTGTACTCAAGTAGATTTTTCTGATATTTTTACTTTACTACTTATTTTTATGGCGACTTTTTACTTCTACTCCTTACATTTTTACACAAATATCTGTACTTTCTACTCCTTACATTTTTTTAAATTGGCTCGTTACTTTAGTTTTTAATCATTTCAATGGAGTTACCGTTATTATTTTTCACGTCATCAATACCAAATTCAATCTAATTGGATGGGAATCTATGTTGCATTTGACGCACCACTACAAGATGAATCGACAGATTCGGCGGTATTCATTCGCAGCAAATCATTGCAGCTTGGTGGCGGTGGCGTTAGCATAGTAGTATGGACGACGAGATGATTGAAAATGAACACAACGGAGATCTAGTCCTATTGGCAGACATTCATTTAAAATGTAGGCAACGGCAGGAAAAAAGTGGTTTCTACTTTTACTTTTATACTTTAAGTAAATTTACAAGCCTGTACTTTGTTACTTTTACTTGAGTAAAGAAGTTTAATCAGTACTTCCACTTTTACCAGAGTATTTTTTAACCCAAGTATCTGTACTTTTACTCAAGTACGGAAAGTGAGTACTTTTGCCATCTCTGCACTAAAGATGGGATAAAATGTTTACAAATATGTGAGGGTTAAACTCACCCCTGCGAGATACTGCATTTCAATAACAAAAGATTCATGATGTGTCTGTTTATACAAATGCATAGAAACACTGAACATTTTTACATTTTGTCTACTTAAAACCGCTAATTGAATGTGTTTAATTAGGATTTTATGTGACTGATCAATTAAAATCTGTGTATAACAGCGAGCTGTGTTGTGCATTCGTATGCAGCCTGCTTTACTTTGAAAGGTCCATCTAAACAGGTTAGATGCACTTTTATACAGCTGCAGCAGACTTGAAGTTCACCTTCCAGCAGGATATCCTATAGATATACAGACACAGATTATATATCAGTTCTCTTGGACTTCACGACTACATCCTGCTTTGTGCTGCAATCCCAAAAAAATCCTGTGTAGTGTGTAGTGTGACAAAATGAGGAAATGTTCAGTGTTTTCTAAAACCATTATGCAAAGTATTGTATCACAATCTACTCCTAACTGATAATTCAAATTTTGCAGTGCTGTTTACCTGAATCTTTCGCCCACCAAGTTCTGCTTTTCCTGTTTAAAAGCTGCAGGGTTTCGTGCTTTTAAGGTTTCACCTGCAGCTCTGTAGCTAAACACAGAGTGGTGACTTGTTAAAAGTAAACTTTACAGGAGTAGTAATGAGGGCGTTGGGGTACAAATGCTGGTGTCTACTATGAGATATCTGATATAGGCGAGGAATAAAAGAGCTTCGGACTAAAATTGGATGGGAACTCATTTGCGAAATATTAACAAAAGAATTGTTGGAAAGTTCATTAAAACCAGAAGTAATAAAGGAAGAAGAGGATCCCTGTTCAAGCAGGTAAAGTCTGAAGGATTGTTGCGGCTTAGTTATATGGATATAAGGGAGAGGAGAAGGTTCTTCTACTCCTGCTGGGGGGCTGGCGTCTCGTTGGCGTTGTTGTCAGTGATCTTGTTTTCCAGCTCATCGTCTGACAGTAGGTCCAAGGAGGTTCCTTCCACCTGCAGGGGGCGTCGGCCCGAGCGACTGGAGGAGAAGGTTATGGGGCCGCCGCGTCTGTGTGAGGAAGAGGAGTGGAGGTAAAGATCAGTAGGAAACAGGATTGTTTCCATTATATTTAATTGGTTAGCAAAACAGGTAGAAGGTAGAACTGATTGGCCCTAAAGTATTGATCACATTCAGTGGAGGAGCAGGTTAAACTAAACCAGGTCCTCGAGGGCCGCTGTCCTGCAGCTTTTAGAGGATTCCGTGCTTTAGCACAGCTGATTATTGATTATTATATGAATATTATCTAAAACCTGCAGGACAGCGGCCCTCGAGGACCGACTTTGCGCATGCCTGAACTAAAACTTCCAAAATGTTTGCATTATAAGGAATTCATGCCAGATCTGACAGGTCCCACATCCCTAGACCTAAAAAACTCTCTTGTAAGATTATTAGATCTATTTAAGACCAAACTAAGGATATAGAGTATTTTTGAAGTTATTTCCACCTTTTCAGTTATAATATTTACTTAAGAGTTTAAGAAAAAGAGGATGAAGGTTTCTTATTTCGCTCAGTTAGAAGCAGCCTATCAGATGTCAGGGTTTCTATGAGAGAGGCTCTAGTCCCGCCTCTTTGACTTTGATGGATGTGTGACATTTTAATTTAATTCATGATGTTTTTCAGTACAGACACATTAAATATTTATTTAAATATGTATCTATTAAATAAAGTCTGTATTATTTCATAATATCATATATTTGATATTTCAACTATATCATATATTTGTTTATTGTACTGTGAGACTTATCATCCTCCATAAATTCAGTCTTCTTGCAGATTAATTAGTAGATCTACAGAATAATAAGAACAGTGAAATAATCATTTCAATCTTTTGGTGAGTAACTCAGGATGTTTAACAAAAATTCTAAAAATCATGTTAAAAGAAACTACTGAAATTTAAGATGATCAAATTTTTATTTTCTATTGAGGACATAAAGTCTGAAAGTCAAACTTTCCTCCATTCACAGCTTTTATTTTTCTATACTTACAGGGTTTGCGTGGAAACCTTGGCAATTTATTGCAGCAATGACTGCAAATTTTGCCCCAAATCAAAGCAGTCAGAAGCAACATGAGTAAATAAAGTGCATCAATGCGATAAAAACTGTAATGTTCTGCATCTCTAAAGAAGGAAACATGTTCTCAATTAAAAACTACACTTTACCTCAGACGGTTCTTGAGAGTGTGAACCTCTCTGCTCAGGCCCTCGCTGGCCTCTGTGGCGTCATCCAGCTCCCTCTGCAGCTTCCTGCGGGAGGCGTTGGCCCTGGTGGCCTCCTCCTCCGCCTCCTCCAGCTGCCGCTTCAGCTGCTTCATGCGGGAGTTAGCCTTCTCCAGCTTCACACAGGGACGGAAAAGTATTGAATTAAGAATAGCTGGAATAAAGTATGCTATAAAAACCGATCCACATCAAAGCCAGAGGCAGACATACCTGCTCCTTAAATTGATCACCATGGCGACGCTCATCCTCCACCTGCATGCAGACTTCTTTCAGCTTCTTCTCTGTTCTCCTTACGATCTTGTTGGCTGCTGCTCGCTCCCTTTAGTGAAAAACAGATTTGTCTTTGCTCGCCAGATCAGTGCTCGGCATAGACCAGGTGAAACTAAGATGTCTCTCCTACCTGGCCTCCTGCTCCAGCTGTTCCTCCAGCTGCACTATCTTCGCCTCTAGAGCGGTGATGAAGGCCTTGAATCTGCTTTTCACTGAACCCTCCAGCTCGCTCAGTTTGGCACGCAGGTCCTTGTTTTGGCGCTCCAACTGCTGGCGAGCGTTTTCGCTCTTTTGCGCAGCGCTGCGCTCCACACTCAGCTCGGTGGTCAGCGTGTCCACCTGAACAAACGGAAGGAGGAAAAAGCAAAAATAGGTGAAGTTTGTTATTAGTAGAGAAGAATTATGATGATCAATAATGAGCTCCAGAACTTCCTACAGAACCTGCATGTTTGTTTTCCTGAAGCGGTCATTGAGCAGCTCCATGTTGCCCTGTTCCTCCTCTAGCTCCTCCTCCAGCTGAGCGATCCGAGCCTCCAGCCTCCTCTTCTCATCCATCAGGGCAGCCCTGACAGACAAACAAAATGTTACTGTTATTACAGATAAAACATAACTGGTATCTCTACCTAAGTTTTACTCTACAAGATGATTTTCATGTTTAGCTTAATTCTTTATTGTTAATAAAACGAGTTTCATTGATTTTTATTCTACTTTCTCAGCTTTTTTCCTTTAGACCAACAATACATTCAATTTATTTGTAATAAGAAGAAATTTACACTAAAAATAAAATAAAAGATATAATTACCCATAATTTTCTTTCTTTTTGTATCTCAAACACTAATACACTGCAAAAAATTGAAATCTATTGAGATATAAGGGATTCGTTTTCTTGAGGTGAGACACTTTGCCAGGGGAACAAGACAATTTACATTTAAAATACCGTATTTTCACGACCATAAGGCGCACCGTACTAAAAGGCGCACTCTCAGTTATGTGTCCCATTTCTGTATTTAACACACACATAAGGCGCACCGGACTATAGGGCGCGTTTTTTATATACCGGTACATGTCCTCTACTACCTTTAAATACCTCTACTGCGTATTTAAAAATACAGCGGGGGCAAAACTGAGTATGACTGTGCTTTATTCATGTATTTTACAAAGTATTAATCAAACCTGGCAGCTGGCCGTGAGACAGACACATCGCAGATGACACAGCGCTGTGATCACTCCTAAATTAACTTAAAATCCTGAAGCCTGCCGACGGAATATGTTCGCTTTTATTACCGGTATCCTGGTGCCTGCAGTTTCAATTATTTAGATGAAAAACACCTGCCAGCAGCCGCGGTGAACGAAAGGATTTCTGCTGTCGGTGCACCGCTGGTATGTGGGGGTCTGAGCGGCTCCGACAGAAATAGATAATCTGGATGAACTGACTGCAATTATGAAGTTTTCAGGCGGACTTTCTCACTTAAAAACATATTAAAACTACTTTATTCCCACTGATCACAGCAAATATAGCTGCAAGATTTAGATTATTTAGATGAAAAAACACCTGCCAGCCACCGCGGTGAAGAGGAGGAGACGCGCCCACTGCTGTTGAATTAAGTTTTCAGGTAGAAAAATAGAGCGGGAGCAAAACTGAGTATGATTGTGCTTTATTAATGTATTTATTACAAAGTATTAATCAAACCCATCAAAGTCATCATCCTCTGTTTCTGAATTAAACAGCTGCGCTAAATCCGACATGCCAGTTTCCCCTTCTTCTTCGTTTATTGACGCATAAATTAACTTAAAACATAGGCAGGATAATAATCTGGATGAACTGACTGCAATGATTAAATTTTCAGGTGGACTTTCTCACTTAAAAAGATTTAGATTATTTAGATGAAAAAACACCTGCCGAGGTGAGTCCGGATGCGCCGCGGCCCAGAGCCTGCTGCTGAATTAAGTTTTCAGGTAGAAAAATAGAGCGGGAGCAAAACTGAGTATGATTGTGCTTTATTCATGTATTTATTACAAAGTATTAATCAAACCCATCAAAGTCATCATCCTCTGTTTCTGAATTAAACAGCTGCGCTAAATCAGACATGCCAGTTTCCCCTTCTTCGCTGTCAGAGTCACTTTCCGTGCAGCGCAGCTCCTCAGAAATAATGCCGGCTTTTGCAAAAGCTTGAAGAACAGAGCCAGCAGACACGTTAGTCCAAGCATCTACAATCCATCCGCAAACTGTGGCGTAACTTGCCCGGCGCTGCCTTCAACTTATCCTGAAACTGTGGTCTCTGTCGGCCATCCATCGCTCCCACGCCGCTCGCAGCCTTACTGTGAACGGGCGCGTCACACCGATGTTGGGCGGTTGAAGCTCCTTTGTCAGACCCCCCGGGATAACGGCGAGCACAGCGTTCATTGATTCACCTTTTTTTTCACATCGGCTGTGAGATGGGCACGCAGCGATGGTGATGGGTGGAAAAAACACCTGTTCTCCTCACATAGGCTACACCTCCCTCAGCCACGCTTTAATCATCTCCTCTTTCATCAGAGCGCTGTGTCTGTCTAGCTGTCAGCTCCCAGATCAGCTTCTCTGATTGGTTGATGCGGCGCGTCCAGCAGCAAAGCTTAAAATTTTCCATCTGGAGCAGCAGCAGCGCGTTGGCGGTGCATCAGATGCTTAAACGATCCCGACGTGCTGCACCTGCGGCTCAAAACGCGCTGCGGGACCTTTTGCTGCACCTATACGCGCGTCAACCATTGACTTTGCATGTAAACTCGCTGCTTCTGTTGCACCTGCTGGGTCCGGTTCACACCGATGTTGAGCGGTTGAACAGCGAGCACAGGGTTAATTTGTTTCCCCATGTTTTTCACATCAGCTGTGAGATGGGCACGCATGGAGTTACATATTAACAGCGATTGTGAGGGGTGGAAAAAAAAAACACCTGGTCTCCTTACATTCAGCCACTCTTTCATCATCTCCTCAATGAGGTGGTCTCAAAAGTCGCAGTTACATCACACATAGGGCGCACCGCACCATAGGGCGCACCGCACATTTTGAGGGGAAAAAAAGACGTTTAAGTGCGCCTTATAGTCGTGAAAATACGGTAAGAAAACATAATTGCATTGTCTTATTTCCAAAAAAAGAAAATTAAAAACAATCCACTGGACTTTGTTTACAATTTTGAAAACATTTTGCTTCCCATCCAGGAAGCTTTTTCAATTCATAATGTCAGGAATAGCGTTGAATTTGAGGTTTTATACAGTAGCCCATCAAAATCTTGCACAAGGTGGATTGTTTTTAATTTTCTTTTTTTGGAATGACTATGACCTGGATGATGGAGAGTCTTAACCTGCACATTGTCTTATTTCAAATGTTTACTATCTAATTATCTTATTTTAAGAGTAAATATACTCATTCCATTGTTAAATCATCCTATTTACCTACTAAAATTAAGGAGATCTACACTTAATTTAAATTATTTTACTTACTTCTAGATTGTTTTTGCAGTGTATAAAAAATAAAAGTGCTGTTAACCAACATGAGTTTTCGGTCAAACTATGACTAAAACTATGGTATAAACAGAAATGTAATTATATTTTATATTATAATTTTATACAACAGGTGTTTCTACTTACTTTCCAGAAGTGCTGTTGGAGATCTCATCCTGCAGCTCGTCTCGCTCTTGCTCTGCATGGCGGCGACCCCTTTCAGAAGCTGCCAGATCCTAAAAGGCACAGGGAAAATTTGTAGTCCCACCACGCATTTAACAAAATTCCAATAAGTCCAACAAGAGCTGTGGAGGAGCCCTGATGATTAGGCTGCTCTGACCTCATGTAGTTGAACAATTTCCGCTTCCAGGCTTTTAAGTTTCTTCTCCGTCTCCTTAGACAAGGCAAAGATATCATCTCTGGAGGCTCTGGTGTCCTCCAGCTCCCTCTGATAGTCCTTCATCTGAGCCTGAAGAAAAGGAAAATGTTCAGAGGACGTAACAAACCTGCAACTCAGTTTGACGTGCATCTAAGTCCTCACCTGTAACTTGCGTAGCTGCTTTATGGCTTCATCGCGAGCCTTGTTGGCTCCTTCTATGTGTCCCTCTATATCCTTTAAGTCCATCTCCAGCTTCTTCTTGGCAGCCACAGCCAAAGCTTTCTGCTTTCTTTCATCCTCCAGCTCTGCTTCCATTTCTCGCACCTGCAGCAGAAAGGATTAAAGATATCAGTAAGGGATTAAGGGAAAGTGCAGGTGGGATTCGTGACTGATTAGAGGTTCAGTATAACTGGGATTTAATTCGGCACCTGTTTGACCAGCGCTCTTTTCTTCTCGTCGTTCTGATCATCCCGGCCCTGAAGGTCTCTTTCGTATTGCGCCTTCATGGCCTGCATGTTGACCTCCAGACGCAGCTTGGCGTCCTCTGTGGCCTGCAGCTCGTCCTCCAGCTCCTCCAGCTGGGTCTTCATCTCCTCCAGCTGCTGCTCCAGAGTGCGCTTGGACTTCTCTAGCTCATGGACCTGCAAAATACAAAAGGATTTTAAAAACGTAAAACAAAGGAATTAATGAAACAAAATGCTATTAAATCTCAGTTTCGTGATGCTCACGTTCTTGCCAACGTCGTCCTTTGAGCTCATCAGATCTTCCATCTCAGCTCTGAGCTGCTTGTTAATCCTCTCCAGCTCCTCTTTGGCCTCCAGGGCCTCGTCTAAAGCTCGGGTCATGGACAGAGCTTTGGTCTCCTTCTCTCTGGCCTCAGCTTCTGCGCGGTCCCGCTCCTCAGCATAACGAGCTGAGATGCTTTTCTCCTCAGCCAGCATCTGCAGATCCAACCAGGGATCATAATTTCATTTATAAATAGAGCTTAGAAGATCTAAATTCTAAAAATAAAATGCATAAAAAGATGAGAGGATTACATTTATAAGGATCTATACCAAGCTTATTTTCCAAAAGATGATCGTAACAAAAACAGCTTTCAGTCAGTTTGGATGGAGGATGTATGTCAAGTTTTTGATCTGTATTTAGAGTAAAAATAAATGTCAGGGCAATTTAAAATCCAGGTATCTTTAAATTTCCAGCAGGGAGGTTTAGTGTCTGGTTGCAGGAAGACGGTTTCCTTTAAGGCTTTGGGAAAGAAACTGCTCCTGAGTCTAACTGTTTTGGATGCTATGATCCTGAATTGTTTTGTAGATGGAAGTGAAACAAACTACATTATGGACTTTGCTGGATTCGTTAAGTATAAACCAAGTCCAGATGAGGGATAAGACATCCCACAATCCCCTGTGCTGTTCTTACTAACTGTGCTTGGTGTGGTGGGAATGGGGTACTCAAGCCCGTCCATTACAAAATAATTCAGGTTTGCATTTGAAATTGATCAGAATACCTCATTACAGTGACCTCTAAGGGCGCTCAGTAACATTAGGTTTTATGCAAAGTGTCAGGCTGAACACAGATGCTTATAAATGATCATATTTTGGAAAAGGAAAAATATTAATATAGTTTTGGCAAAATATAGGAAAAGTTTTGGTTGCAAAATCAAAAAAATGTTTTATGTTTGATGTATAAATGATTATTTATGGCACTGCAGGGGATTTATTGTATGACTCGGTCTGACCTGGTCAAACTTCTTCTGCTTCTTCTCCAGGTTGGAGACGATCTGCCTCTGATGATCCAAGTCAACGGTGAGATCATCCAGCTCCTGCTGAAGACGAGTCTTTGTCTTCTCCATCTTCTCAAAAGCAATCGTCTTCTCTTCCAGGCGTTGGTTGGACAGCTCCAGATCCTTCTGCAATTTCTTCTTTGTCTCCTCCAGGCCTTCTATCGTCCCGACGTCATCCTCAAGCTTCTTTTTGCTCTCTGACAGCTGCAAACGCACAAACATACCATCAGATCCAGAAGAAAAAGGAATTAGCATGCTGTGGGAACAGAGACAAGGAATCACCACATCCTACCTGAGCCTGAACTGTCAACAGCTGCTTCTCCAGATTCTTGCGCGCCTCCTCGTCCTCCTCCTGCTGCTCTTGCAGGGCGGCTTTCTCCTCCTCCAGCTGGCGAACACGGCTGCTCAGGTTCAGTTTCTGGCGCGTCTCTTCCTGGAGAAGCTCCTGCATAAAAATAAATTGGCTGCTGTCAGTTAAAAAGGAGAGGATTCAAGAAACTTGACAAATTATCTGGAATACTAAACATCACCTGCGTGTCTTGCAGCTGACTCTCCAATCCGGCAAGATCTTTGGCCGTCTTGATCCCCTTCCTCTCTGCATCTTCCAGCAAGGCGGACACATTGTCCAGTTCAGTCTGTGTGAAGAGATTCAGGCCTTTTTAAAAAAAGTTATTTAGTGCTTTAAACCAGCTTTGAATCAGTTATTATAAAATAACAAAAAAGTTAAAATGCTTAAAGAATCATTGATCAGTCCTTAACTTGATGATTTAATTTCAATATCTGTAATAAAATCGGATCCATATTAAAGGTTCAACGAGTTTTTGTTGCTCAAAATCAATTCAGAATTTATTATGAATGACGAGACTCCATGGCTAAATTCACACAGCAGTCTGAGGTGACCTAAATATGATTTTTTTGCACCAAGGCGACTTGTATCTAATCTTTTCATGGCAGTCTGAACAACACATTTTTCCAATGCGATTCAGGCCACTTCGCTATGCGGTCCTGAATTCGATCTGATCTTTTCAAATGCGACCTGTGATTGAACAGCCAGGCCGCATTCATCCGACCTGATGCTATTAGTACTCAACAAAGATCACTATTCTAGGTTTTGCTTTAAAGAAGCGGCAAGAACAACAACCATGGCGGACGATAATGCAGAAAGCAGTCTTTATTTTCAACTCTCTTTAAAATTTTTGTGTTGCTTATTCACTGGCTGATGTTGGGAAAGATCTTTATGTACGCTCCAGCACTACCATCCATGTTTAATCTATAAACACAGAGCATGCTCCCTTGTGAAGTCATTGCGTCCTCGACTGCGCATCCGGGACACTTAAGTTATGTGAATGCAGTTCACACAGGAGATCACATATAAGCCGCATATTCTTAGAAATGTAAATGAGAGCGCAAAAGAATCGAATTTCACACAAAAAAAACGGGATTGAGCATTAATGCCTTGCGTTTGAATGTAGCCTATGATAAGTAGTTATAAGGCAGTCAATGTGTTTCTTTCTGATGTCCTGATCTGAGTCCAGGTCTGCAAACTCATGCAAATGAACTTTGAATTGGTTGTGATGAACTCCTAATGTTATAAAAAATTTAATAAAACTTTGTGTGCACAAAGCTTTATTTTTTGCTTTATTTTTTCCTTTATTTTTTGCGAACTTGATGTTCTTGATGAATTTGTACCCTGATGATGTTTACAGTGAAATGCATTGGTAGGTGCAGCTTCCTGTCTGTTTGTGATGTGTATGATATGCAGAGTGAAGCTGAACCTCTGACCCATGAAACCGAAGATGTTCCAAAGAATTACAATTTCTCATGTAATGACGAAGGAAACCTTTATATGAGATTTGTCTGGAAGCATGAAGACCCTTTAGAGCAGAAGCTTGGATCAGTCACCTGCAGCTTGTGCGTGCGCTCAGCCAGCTCCCCTTTGGCCCTCTCCCCCTCTGTGACTCGGGCCATGTACTCCTGCAGCTGACCCTCCAGCTTCTTCCTCTTGTGTTCAGACTCTGTCTTTGCCTGCTGTAAGGTTTTCACTTCATTGGTCAGCTCCTTGTTGGCACTCTCTTGACTCTGCTTGGTCTTTTCTAAGTTAGCTTTAAACTAGATAAAAAAATAAAAAAAAACAATTGTTGTGTTAAACACTTAAATTATCTTAGTAAATGGATCAAACCGTGGTATCAGAATACTGATTGTGTGAAGGTCTCGTACCCTTTTGGCCTGCTCCAGCTGTTCTGACAGCTCCTCCAGGGCGGTTGCTTGCCTTTGTCTCATCTCCTGAATCTGAGCTTCATGGTTTTTAGTTTCCTCTTCAATGGCTTTCTTCAGCTCCGCCACCTCCTGCTCACGTTTGGTTCTAAACAGAGCAGTGAAAGGGTCAGGAGAAAGCTCACGGTGGATAAGAAGAATGGAAAACATTGCTAGGGGTGTTACCTGAGCTCCTGCTGCGCTGCAGTCGTATCCAGGGTGTCTTCCAGCTCCGTCTTCAGGGCCTCCAGCTCCTCGCTCAGATCCCTCTTGAGTTTCTCAGCTTTGTTTCTGGCCTGCTTCTCTGACTCAAGGTCCTCCTGCAGCTCAGACAGCTGGGCCTGCAGCTCCCTGATCTGCTTCAGAGCGTTGTTCTTCTGGTTGATCTCTTCCTCCCCTCTGTTAAGAAGAGACAATAATATTGTATATAATGAATAATTTTCTTTGCATATAACGAATATATTACAAATACAAACGTATGTATTTATATAAGCCTTATTTTGTTGCAGGATCTATGAATCATAATCAGCTGGAGATTTGGCTACAGAAATGCTTATAGTGTTAGGAATCCAGTTTGTGTGTTTTTCCTTTTCCACCACCAGGAGGCGCCCTGTCTTCGCTGTCCCTCCATGCACACCTGCGGCTCATTGGATCATTATCTGGAGGAGTATTTGAGCAGTGGGCTGTCACTACCTCGACGCCAGAGTGTTTGCCAGTTTTGGTTACTCTAGCCAAGCTGAGTTTAGCTGAATCTAATCTAGCTTTGTTTCTCTGAGTCTAACGAGTTTCCTGGACCTTCTTTCCCCTGCAAGGAAAAAACCGAGTTACACTGAGCAGGGGAAAACCTCCATATGTTCCATTCAAATACCCATCGAAAATCCGAGTGACAGTCCCCTCCATTACTCCTCCGGGTCCAACGCTTTTCAACCTGTCCACCCTCCAACGTGTGCACCATTCTCTGGATTTACCACACAGTCTGGATTCAAGGACTAAGAAGGCCCCCCTCAACCGTGAGTTCCCAACCTTGCAAAATCTAAGTGCTTCCAAGATTCCCACGGTACCTGAACTGACCACTGAACTTCCCTTCTCACTTCCAGTTCCGGGTCACCAGCTCACTGAGTTCCAGATCCAACTCCTGTTCACTCCTTCAAAAAACCTGTTAAACTTTTTCCGTGCTCTCTGAGTGGTTACTCTTGATGTGGGTCAGATATGTTAAACCGATCATGACATATAGGACAAGCTTCATACAGGATTTATGGATCCAAACACACTAACAGTCAGGATTTGATGAATATGGAGGCCGGAAACAACCAATTTACTAAAAAGACCCTTATTTGTAATTTTAGTGGCTTTTCTTTTTATTTGAACAATAAAAGTCAGTAGAAGCATATTTCTCTCACGTTTTTAAAGCGAGAGCGCCAAATAAAAAAACTAAATAAACAATCTTTAAAAGGAGGATAAAGAAAATTTTTTAACAAATATTGTAAAATAATGCAACTTTATCTAAAATACATTCTTACAAAACAATATTATTTAAAGTCAGAAGTTATTGCTTCACAGAGCAACAAATTAAATCAAACACAAAGAGTACCACAAAGTTTTTAGACATGTAAAGCTGAGTCCATTCCTCTGAACCAAAGCCAGCCCCTCTCTGCTTCTCTCTGCCATTCACTTCTGAATAACTCCAGTTTCCAAAGACCTGAGTGAACAAAGTGTCTGCAATGATGTAACTCTGTAGCACCAAGTTCCCCTCCTTAGAAACAGTTCCCAGTACCCATATTGAGGATCTTACAGTATTTACGTTGCTACTTTGAGTCAATTTTGAAAGCTGAACAGTGTTTATGCAAACAGCCTCTTCAAATTCAATAGTTAATAAGTTAGGAAAAATAGTAATAAAGGATCTACAATGAAACCATCACCTTGTAACTTAAGTTCATGGAAGTCAACATAATTTTTCAAACTTTCATGAGGTAAATTTGATTTATCTTTGAGTTATCTTTTTTAAGTTTGATTTATCTTCTTTGTGAAGAACTTTGTATAAAATTTGAAATCTGACATCTAAATGACAGACATTGAAATCTGTGTGAGAACCACAGTTTGCTAAAGCAAACTGTGGATCTATTTTCCATCTAAATGTGTCACTGATTCTCCCACCTGGTTTGCATCATCTGCTGTTCCTCCTCCTTCTTGCTCAGCTGAGTTTTCAGCTCCTCTATCTGTGACTGCAGCTCGCCTATTTGGTCCTGGAAGTCAGACGTCTCTCCATCGAGCTTCCTCTTAGCCTTCTCCAGCTCCTGACGAGTTTTCTCCTCCTTTTTCAGTCTCTCTGAATATGAATCAAAACATTACAGATTAATAATAAGGAAATAAATGTTTTATTTGTGTAATTTCTGCGTTGCGATCCAGCTGAGTCATTTACCCTCCAGGTCAACCATCATCATCTCCTGCTTGTTTCTTATCTTCCCTAAATTTTTGGCTTTCTCCTCCTCTTCAGCTAACATCAGTGTCATTTCGTTGATTCTGTCTTCAAGCAGCTTCTTCTCCTGATGAAGCGGACATGTTAATGTAAACAAAGCTTTGCAGTAAAAGTCTACGTACATATTTAAACCATTACTTTTTTCTGACCTTTAGGAATTTGGAGTTCTGGTCCTCCAACAGTAAAATATCCTCCTCATACTTCTTCATCTTAGCTTCAGCAGTTACTTTCTCAAGCTGAAGTTTCTGCCTTGCACCCTCCTCTTCATCCAACTGTTCCTCCAGGTCCTAAAAACATAAATTACACCAAATACTGTTTATGTTCATAATCAATGACTTTTTGGTTTAATTGTCATTATTTAGCCAGCCTCCCACATCCAATACTCTTGGACACACACCTGGATGTGGGACTGCATCTTCTTCTTCTCATTCTGCAGTCCTTGACTCCTCTCCTCTTCCTCCTCCAGCCTGGACTCCAGGTCATGCAGGATCTCCTCCAGTTCTTGTTTTTTGGATGCCAGCCGAGCTCTCATCTCCTCTGCCTCTGCAAATAGCTCTGTTTCTGCCTGCAGCTGCTCCGCAAGGATGTTCTTCTCTTCCAGTAACTACACAGAAAGTAATCATCATGATATAAAGCTAGACCGGTAAAGGTAGTCATGCCTCTAAGAACTTAAAACAGTTTATTCCATCACAACCACCTACCTTAGTTTATCATTTCAATGGTTCTGATAAGGTTTAAGAAATAATCATCTAAAAACTGTTGCATCCATTTATATCTTCAGCCCCTTTTATTTGGTACCTATTAATGAAATCCAGTCCTTCCAATAACACCTAATTAGTCAAATAAGCGCACCACAGGAGGTGTACTTTACCAATCCAGCCTGTCGATTATCAGAAACATGTAAGGGATGAAGCAAGTTGTTCTGGTCAAACGGAACCAAAGCTAAATTTGGAAATTGAAAAACTAACTCTTCCCATCATCCTGAGCCAACCGTACCTATTGTTATGAAGTCAGCAAGAGCAGCAAATCTAGTCAGACATTGTTTGAAAAAAGTAAGGAGCAATCCTGAAATAAAATACAGCAACACCCTAAAAAATCTCTATGGAGTCATTTGATGTATTTCCCTGTTTCAGCCAAAAGAAATAAAGCTAGAACATTTCAGAATTGCACTGCTATAATAGTAAATCTGCTAAGAAGTGTTATTTATAAAATAAAGAATATAATAGAAGACATTATCAGCAAAGATCTGAAGGTAAACAAAATTTGACTAATTACTAAAGAAAAGTAATAAGGAACTAATGGGTAGTTAACCGGTATTTACTGGGGAACATCCACTAAGCTTTATTATGGACCAACTGCTTAGTTACCTAGGAAACATGGAGTACGGAGTACCCTAATGGGTAGTTACCAAGGAAACAATGAGGAACTAATGAGGATGATCCTCCATGGTCACTAGACGAGCAGATATATCTCGGAATGCTTCCCGAGAGCTCTCCTTGCAGAGCATTATGAGATTCTTAGTCAGATTATTCCACTGCCACCATACCTGACAGCGGCGACAAAAAACAAAGATGGCTCAGGGGGGGAGAAAAAGTATTGATCATCTGTCCGAAAGTTAAGTTAACTGAGTTCTCTATAAAGTCCACTATATAGTCCCCGCTGTATATAGTGCTTGAGAGATCTAAGGGTTAGGGCGGGTGTTCAGACACAGCCAAAGAGTGACTATTTTGGAACCAATGGGTATTTACAAAGGAAACAAATAGGAACTAATCAGGAAATGATGGGTAGTTACCAAGGAAACAAATGGGAACGAATCAGGAACTGATGGGTAGTTACCAAGCAAACAAATGGGAACGAATCAGGAACTGATGGGTAGTTACCAAGCAAACAAATGGGAACGAATCAGGAACTGATGGGTAGTTACCAAGCAAACAAATGGGAACGAATCAGGAACTGATGGGTAGTTACCAAGGAAACAAATAGGAACTGATGGGTAGTTACCAAAGAAAACAAATGGGAACTTATCAGGAACTGATGGGCAGTTACCAAGGTAACAAATAGGAACTAATCAGGAACTGATGGGTAGTTACCAAGGAAATTAATAGGAACTAATCAGGAACTGATGGGTAGTTACCAAGGAAACAAATGGGAACTAATCAGGAACTGATTGGTAGTTACCAAGGAAACAAATAGGAACTGATGGGTAGTTACCAAGGAAACAAATGGGAACTAATCAGGAACTGATTGGTAGTTAGCAAGGAAACAAATAGGAACTAATCAGGAATTGATGGGTAGTTACCAAGGAAACAAATGGGATCTAATCAGGAACTGAATGGTAGTTACCAAGGAAATAAATATGAACTAATCAGGAACTGATGGGTAGTTAGCAGAAAACAAAGAGGAAGGAATCAGTAACTAGAGGATAGTTGACCAGTGCTTCTTAGGGGACTGCTGGTTTGTTAAAGAATAATTGGAGTAGAAATTCTCAGTGTTGGTTATGAATAAATCCTAAACCTGTGCTGTAACAGATTATAATAAAATACTTTACTGAGTACCAAATTATTGTCTAATCATTATGTTATGGACTGAGTCAAGCATCACATCAAGTAGTTACCAAAAGAATAATTGTTACCCAGTCAGTACCTGAACATTATCTAATGTTTTGGTGTGACGTAAAGTAAAGGTAAACCACACGTTAGTTCCTGCTTAGTTACTCTGTGTTTCTCAGGAAACTAAGCAGTAGTTCCATAACAAGATTCGGCTGCATGTTCAACAGTAAATACTGGTTAACAAACCATTAGTTCCCTAGATGCTGACTAGTAGTTGATCACATTTTGTGTTCCATAGTGTTGAGTGTTACTGATATTTCCTGCCTACAGCCGTCAGCATCTACAACAATTCATTAAAGTCACCCTGATATTATGAGTTACCATATTTAATATTTCCTGAAGTTCAAACCTAAACCCAGTTACAGACTGTGGCATTCAATCTGACTGACCTTCAGTTGCTTTGCTATAAATGTAGAAATAGGTGGGGGAGGGGCATATGCCACACTTTTTAGACTTTCAATAGATTTTCAATTTTTTTAAATTATTTTTAATACAAAAGAAAACAATTATCTGTCCAATAGAGTCCTCCAAAAAGCTTTGAGGTTTGTGGCTGCAATGTCAAAAACGTTAAGAGGTAAATATATTTAGGAAATGTCACTGAAAGGTGCAGCTGTAAATACCTGCTGATGCTTCCTCTCCATCTCCACCAGCTCCCCTTCCACCTTCATCTGCTTCTCCTTCACTTTGACCAGCTCCTCGTCTTTAGCCTGCATCTCCTCCTCCTGCCTGGTCACCTGCAGCAGGGGCTTCACCTGCAGTTCACAGAGTAAAATACTTATTAGAACAAAATGCAACATCGTCCAGCTGGAAAATAATCAAATCAGAGAACAAGGCACCATGAGAGAAGCACACACCTTGGTGAAGAGTCGCCACCACTGCCAGTGACGCAGCTTCAAGTAAGCAGCGCAGTTTCTCTGGAGGACTTTTAGGGCACTGAGCTGCTGCTGCTTCTTAGCAAAGGCTCTGAAGCATCACATTCAGAGACAAAGATGATGTACAGTGAGTGAAACAGTGGAAAAAATAAGATCTAGTTAGGCTACATGGTTCGCATTGCCCCTTTTTGCCCTTACTTGCGCGCCAGATATCCTCTACAGACGGCCTGGAAGTAAATAATGATGTCTGTGATCTTCAGGTCCCTCTCTTCCTCTAAGTGAGCCAGGACTCCAGCTCTGAAGAAGATCTTGCTCTGGCCGATGCGGAAGAGGTTGCCGTCAAGTTCAAGTGCTTGAATCTGCAAAAAAAAAAAACAAAGAGGGAAAAGGGATTTTTTTTTAAATATAATTGGACGTTCTTTTATTAACTTTAAATATGATATCTTTCATTTAGTGAATTCTAACTGTCAGAATAATATTCTAAATGATTTTAATTATAAATCGGTCTGTACCATTCGCTCGCAGGCCTGCTTGCCATCCATGAAACCCTTGGGAATGGCATTAGGAGTCAGGATCTCATATCTGAATGCAGATGGAGACATAGTCAGAACTAAACTACACATAACAGACTCAGACTAATATCTACACAACAAAAAAAGGGACATTAAAGAAACTTCTGATATCCTGAGTGTGTTAATGATGTGTTTATATCAATAGCAATTGCAAGACACTAAAATATTTTAAAAATCATATCAGATTTGGGCACATACAGCTAGAACATGTTTCAAATATGTTTCATCAGCAAGGAAGATCTACACTGACACAAAATGTAGTTTATGATGATGATAAAATCTCAAATCTGTCCAAACAAGCAAAGGCCTGAAAGTCCCACATCAAATGAGTGCAGGTCTTGAAAACCTATTAGCCAATATATATAAAACATCCAGGAATATAATAATCAAAATTATTTTTGATAAGTAAAATGAAAATAAATATTTTCATGTAAATCAGCAGCAACAGCATAAACCTGCTTTTACAACATCACATTAATAAAATCTGATTATTTAAATAACTAAACTTTTTTTATGCAACACAGTAGAAATCAGTGTAATTAAGTTCATTTTAAATTATTGCTGTGCTGCTCGGCTAGATAGCATGGAAGTGGATATACTTACAATTTATTTTTTTTAAATCTAAAACAAAAAAGAATTTAAATTACTTTCCCACTGCATGTCTAATGCTCAAATCCACTTTTTTCAAGAATCAGGTTATCTTTTGCTTGTTGCTCTTCCCACACGCTGCTTTAAATGTTGCCTTGATCTGAGTCAGAGTGAACTGTTCACTGCTCTGAACTGACCTGCATACGTGTAACAACTATAAGATGACCTATAAGATGCACTATGTTTTAGGTGCATAACAGAAACCATTTATCATCAGCAGGTGCCCTGCGGGAAACACATCAATTAAAGGGGAGGGAGACTTTATTGGGGCATTTTAGGGAGATCTGATTCCTTTCAGCTCAATCTCTTTGGATGTGTTGACGCAGTCAGCAATGATGGGACAGGGATGTTATCAACTTTACAGAAACTGAATTTATTCTGAACTTTATCATTTATCATCACTTGATGCGATTCAGTATATCAGATTGCAGCAGGAGCAGACTATCACATGCTCCCTAACCTTGATAGTATCTGTCGTCGAGACGACAGTAGCATCTGATGTAGGAGTTTGCCCTGAAATCAAAGGACTGTTCAAGCTTCCAGATTCCAGCGTCGTTGTGTCCTTGGGCATGACGCTTCACCCACATTGTCTACTGATGGGGAATCAGTGTACGGTAGCTTCGCTTCTGACAATGAGCCCCACGGCAGCTGTGGCTACAATGTAGTTTGCCACCATCAGTGTGTGCGTGAATGACTGAATGTAGTGTAAAGCGCTTTGGTCAAGTCTCCTGACTTGAAAAAGAGCTATGGTATATAAGTATAGGCCATTTACCATTTTAAGACCTGTGTTTTAAGGGTGGTATACCAATTTTACTATAAAAATTACGTCCCGTTTCCATTTGATGATGATGAGCTAATCAATTAGGCCTGAATAAAAAGTTACCTCTGTTTATTAATGAGGCTGAACGTCTTGTCTGTCGTCTGTACCATTCTAGCTTCTATCTATTTTGCTATCGTTTCCTGTTGGAGTCCAATGTCAACGGAAAGTGGCGTCTAACGTAGCACCTAATCCGCCTATGTTGTTCTACTGGAGTCCCATTCCAATAGATCAGGACAGCATATAAATTTGGCTTAAATGTGATTTGAAAATATTAGGTAAAGGCAAAGTCTAAGCGTTCACACTTGCTTTAAACAGCCTGACCTGATCAATGGACCCAAAAGAATAAGATTTGTGAACCATTTGCAGAGGAAACAAGGTAAGATTTTTAGACATATGTAAATTATACTTCATCATTTGATTTTCATTTAAACGTGGGGATTTTTATCTTAATTATCTCTTTCCCTTATTCTCAAAACTAATTAGTTAAAAAACTTAGATTATTAGGAAATAAAAGATTCTGCTTCAGCCTAAGAAGCAGTCTGCAAGTTGTTAGCATTTTAACCACACCGTCTAACAATGTTGGTGAGATAGTAGACAAACAGAGTTTAACCACTGAATTTATACACTGAAATGATTGGTGAGGGAAACCGATATCAATCATTAAAAAGCAGTACTTAGAAGCTGACATTTTGGATCTAATTTAAGAAAATGCTTAATGTAAAAACCAAATGAGGGCTAAAATGTGACCTCTGTCTGAACTCCTGGAAAACGATGCGATTGGGGAATCCCTGTCTGCAGATACGGATCCCCTCCAACACACCATTACATCTCAACTGGTCCAGAACCAGGTGGGGGTCCAATTTACCAGCCTGGGAAGGAAAGACAAAAAAAAAACATTATAAAAAAAATATATAGTAAAATTATCCCGACAAATTAACAGGAATTAAAAAAAAATTTTATAAAAACAGCAATGATTTTACACTATTTACAGCAGGCATGTCTAAAGGGGCCATTTGGAGCCCTCAGGATAATTTTGTGAGGCCATTTACTAGAATTCAAGACGAGATTAAATTTAGTTTACCAGCCAAACCCTTTAATAAATATACACTTAAAAAAATAATGCAACCATTTTTCGCTTTTACTTAATCATATTTATTTACTTTAACATAATTGTTTCACGTTAGCATGGTAGGACATAAAACAACTGTGTTTAAGTAACTAAATATGATAATGTAAATGCATAATTGGTTGCATTATTCTTTTCAGTGTATTTATATGATGGCAAATATATGTACATTAAATGTTGGGGTGCAATGTTTTATACCGACATGAGACCTTTAAAAAAAGATGTTACAATTAAAATAGAACAGTACAACATTTTCCTTTCAGTTTAATTCAATTAAATATTAAAAGGAAGATAAACATCAAAATCACTATTAATTAACTTGGTAATATAGAGGATTCAGTCTTATTCATATCCTGTTACAATACAAACACAACAAAATCAGAAAAGTATGGTCAACCTAAAAACTTTTGTGTTTTATGTGCTTTATTGCTTTGCTTTTAAAACAGGCAAACCTACAAAACAATGTTTGATCCCTTTTCTGTAGAAATCAGAGTTCTGCTGGTTTAGGTCAAATACTGCAAACTTAATTTACTGTTGATGTAAAGCTGGAAAAAAAAGTTTTTTAAATTCTAATTGAAGAGAAAAAATAGTATTTTAAACTGGACATCATTGACTATTTTGGCTAAACTTTTGGGTGCAACTGATTTTATAGTATAATGGTTCAAAGTGGAAATCATAGAAGGTTAAAATATATATAAAATATAAAATAACATCCAAACTTTAAACAGCTAACTCTGCGATTCAAGTTTATATTAAATTTATCACAAAATCAGAACTGTGTTCAGCTTAACATATCAGACAGCATTTTTTTGTCATTAATCTAGAAATATGCTATAAATGTATAAGTTTAGTGATCACCTGCAGTGCAGCACAGATTAAATATACTGTATCTGTTTGAGGGAATAGCAGCGTCTGGTCAACAGGTGCTGTGAATCAGCTCTCAGGAACTTGAAGTGTTGACTCACTCTTTTTTCATGGTTGGGGATGATGCAGCGCACAAAGTTGGGGTTTGTGTTCCTGAGCGTTGCCATCAGTTTGGACAGCTGCTCTTTGTACAGCTGTCCAACGGTGCGGAACATGCCTTTCTTGGTCTTGTAGGCAGCTCCAAATGCCGTCTCGTTCATGCCTGCCACCTGGTCCAGACCCACGATCCGGTCAACTGAAGAGGAAAAAAATAACAGAAAAAAACAAAAGCTAACTAAATGAGTGATTAATAGGCATGGGTTTTTTTTTTCTGATGCTGTTTTGCTGCTTTAAGATCCACCATTTCATTTATTTTAACAGACAACAAATGAAACATTATCAATGAAATGCTGCAAAAAAAAAGACTGAGATGCACAGCAGAGAACACCCCCCATACCATAAAGAAACCATAAAGAAAAGATAACATTTATGAAAATGCATGTAAAGAAAGTTTCTCTGAATGATTTCAATATAAAACACATAGAAATTGTATTAAATTAATGTATCTATATAAGTGTATTTAAACTCTCCAAGCACAACTGCTAAATATAACATGTGTGTTAAAGAAAAGCATAAAATAATAAATGAGGGCAGAACAATAAAAAAACAAAACAGTTCAGCATGAAGTGAACAGGCTGACATACTCAGCCAGTCAGCTCGGTTCATGTCATCAGTCACCTGGGAGGGGAAGAGATGTGTACCTGCTTGTATGTGGTGATGATGAAGCAGCAGACGCTGTTGGTAGTTAGAAATAAAAACAAAATAATCAGCTAGTATTGTTTACTTCTTTATGATTACCTCAGGATAGTTTTGTTAGTTTGCTTTATTATTTTTATTGTTAAATGCATTGATTTCTTATTCATATTTAACTATTGTAAGATGATTCTTTGTCATGAATTTAAAGAAAAGAAAAAGGGCTTTATAGTAACAATATGGTGCATTAAAACAATTATTTCAGTAAATTTAATCAATACGTCTATGTAGGATCAAGAATGACCAAACGGCTGAGGAATGATTTAACTGCTGGAAAACATTCCTGGAATATTCCTGCTTTTAGTTAAAATGCCCCACTCTGCGTCTTAATGTCTTAAATCTCTGGTGAAACGCAGATTTTGGAAAAAATAATAAATCTGGTTCTAAAGTTGGATCAGATATCTGGCCTGCAGAAGTTTCCAAACCTTTTTGGTCCAATCAGTGACAGAAACAATATTTTAAAAACTGAAATCATCCTTTGATCCAGTAAGTTTAGGGGGAAAGGCTCTGATGAGGCTCTGAAAGAAAAACCATCCAATGATCCAACTCTAACTCTTTTATGATTTAAATGCATTCCATGTGATGACTCTGACACTCAACAAGGGTTTCAACAATGATTCGACAAAGCTTTTATTTCCTGATATTTACCTATTGGACACTTTGAAGCAGAACCTGTCAGTTAGAAGCAAATTATAGTGTTGCTTTGCTTTCAGTGGACATTAAATTAGCTTTTACTGAGTATTTTCTGCTCCTTCACCATGGTCTACATATCAGCACCATGTAAAGTGTCTACATAGTGTCTACAGTTATTTGCATGTTAAGATTATTTTCATGATAGCATCAGATCTTAGCCCCAGCCTTGCAGATGCATCCCTAAAGATCAAACTATATCACAACGCTACCACCAGCTCGCCAAACCCATGTGCACGAAGATATTTACAGTTATTAAATTACTTATTGTATTACTGAAAATATAATTTAGTTCAATAAATCAATTGAAAATCGAATCACAATATTAAGATTAGTTTAATAGTTTAGATTAGATAAGATTAGATTAATTACACAGAGCTCGATGTTTTAAGCCTTTATTTTTGTTTTTTATAATTATTTTCTACTTAAAGCCATTGGAAAAAAAAAATTTTCAAAGACAATATATATATATACCGTATATATATATATATATATATATATATATATATATATATTTAGCGTGAAAAATATGTTTACCACCTGCTTAAAGGTTGTAATTTTCTAAAAGGTACTTTAAATCTGAAAAATCAGCCAAAACTTAATGTACTGTACGTGATATACTGAGTCTTGGTTTCTACAAATAAACCATCGTGAATTTTTCCACAACCTGCAAAGCTTGTCTTAAATATTTCAGAATTAAACATTTTGACAAGCCGGCTGCCCTGCCAAGTCACCTTAAAATAAATGTTCATCTTGCCTTTTATCACAACAACCATGTGTTGAAATCCATTAATTTTTAGTTATTTTCAAACCTTTCTATGCCATAACACTGAGGATAAACCTAACCATTATCAGTGCATATTTCACCCTAACCTTGGCCTAAACTAACTTTAACCATAAACCTAACTGTTAGCAAAAGAACATAGTGAGGACCAGCGAAATGAGCTCTCTTTGTTAAAAATGGCCCTCACTTTGCTGGTGAAATCTGAAAAAAGGTCCTAAATCAGATACTCAAAGAGAAGCAAACGCAAACATCACTCCTACCCCCTCAGTTCTCAGAAATAAATGAGGTTTTGAATTCTGACAGCCCGACATGGATATTGCACTTGACCTCCAAACCTTAAAATCTCATTTTCTTGCAGGTTTCCCAGCAACCAGCATAGCCAAACCTGGGCAGAATTTAAAGTCATGTCCTCCTCTGCTCAAACCTCTAGTGGTGCCAGTGGCACATGATTAGATGCCAGTGTGGATTGTACTTAGCAGCAAACAGGTCGAGATCCGTTCAGGTTAATTCAAAATGAGATAGGCATTGCAGCTACATCACCAAGAATAACAGCTTTTGCAGGTCTGCCAGCCAATGTAGGCGTCAGGAGGGTGTAAGCTTGAAAAGACAGGGATTGTGTGGGACTCACAGAACGGGTAGAGTGCCAACGCTTCCCACCATGTTCACTCTTGAACCAACCAGGATTAATTTAACAATATAGGAACCTTAATTCATGTTATAAATCATTTAAAAGACCTCACCAAGACCCAACAAGGACCATGCACAGAGCTTTAACCACACTGTTTGTCATAATAATTATAGTAAGCTACAACCATTAAGAGCAGGAGGAACATTTTAGTACCTAAAGCTTTATGCCAAATAAGAGCACAGCCATGCAAAGCCATAGGAATGTGTTTTGATGATTTCACAGAGCACTGATGGCAGGGAAGAAGGAACCAATGAGCCCTGCAGTGCTAGCGATGAAAGACAGTAAAAAGTACACAAAGCATGTTACTAACGTTCACCTGGAGCTTCAGGAAGCCCAGACACATTGTCATAGAAAGAGGCTCTCTGAAACGTCTGAATGTCTACAGCAACAGAGAGAGAAGACAGGCGTGAGACAGAGAGAGAGAGAAAGAAAGTAGGCATGCATACACAAACATCCAGACTCCCTCAGGAACAAATTATTAGTGCATTAAGAAGATGTTAGAAAGAGGTCTGAGGAGTAAATGTCAGCACTGGCTCTAGTTACAGTTGTTTGCATGAGTCTAAATCTAAATTATAGTTATTTAAGAAAAAGAGAAGCAATTAGCTTTCTATTGAAGCTCGTCCTCTGCAAATAAAATAGAGGGCTGGTTATCCTCCCTACAGCAGCGTGTCGCAGTGTGCATGTCGCAGATATTTTTGATTTATTCCCAATATTGAATCGTGGTCTGCGATATGTAGTTCCACGCCACAAAGCAAGAGGGACAATCAGGAACTAGCTGTGGGTCTAGATACGGCCAAGGTGGTGAGGAAGTGGGGGAAACAGAGGGACATGAGGGCGAAAAGAAAACCAGCGGGGATCCAGGTGGAAAAAGGGTCCCAGCGTTCTTGCGTTCCTCGCTCTTCTAGCTGCTCCATCTTCATAAGTCGTTTTCAAACAAGGAACAGGAAATACGCATAGTGTAGAGCGGATGTAGATTTGACCAATTAGAGGCCTTCTGTATGCGGCACTGTCTGCGGTCACCTACAATCTTAGAGAGGTGCACCAGAGTGTCTGCAGCAGGGGCGAGGGCACATTTGCATTCACTGCGACACTTGCAGACGACCTGGTTTCTGAGTATAAATCAGCCTTTAGTCTAACCGTATGATAGAACAATAACCACTGTAGCAACAGTGAAAGGAAGGGTCTGAGGCTAACAAGTCTTACTGAACTGTAGGCGATCAGAGACCTACCATCTTTCCAGAGCTCGGACACAAATTTGTCTGTGGACTGGTGAAGCAGTGTGGCCACGTTATCATTTAGAGGATCCATGTTCTTCATGAGCCATTCATCAGCTTTATAGTCCACCTAAGGAAACACAACAGGACACTTTTTTTTATTAACAGCCTTCTAAATTATTTTGTCTGTTTTATGAACCCTTAAAAGTCTGGACCATGAAATAATTGAAAGAAAATTCTATTTTTTATTTAGAGTTGTCATTGAAAATGAAAGGAAAAAAATATATATATATATATTGTATAAGTTAAATTAGATCATTTATTTACATCAATTTTGATACATTAGGCATTTCTGTAGAATATTATATACGTTTTCTGTTCATTACATGTGTCTGATTGTGTAAGTCAGGGTTTTTAAGATCACACTGATGATGCAAAGTCCTCAAAAACTCATGTATCAAATATGATACGATTGGTTTTAAAGGGTTAATTAGTTCTGCAAAGTTGGGAAACTTATTTACTGATTTATTCCACTTATGCTAGTTTTCATATCACCCATGCTACTCTATCCTAGCTGGATAACTTTAAGGACACCCCAACAGAAGGGAATTTTACTCTGTGATCAACAACCTGCTCTGCGTAGTTTCCCCTCTCTGCATAATCAAAGTAGTGCATTTAAAGTGATTGGTGACAAACATGTTGAGAAGATCTGCGCTATTTAGGATTGTAAGATGAAAAACCTCAGGCCAGTTTTGTTCATTGACACACGTTCCCCTTTTTGAAGTAGCGGTTGTTGGCGTCTTCTAAGTGTTTATACAGTTGAAACACTTTATCATTTAACGACCACAGTCTTCAGTGTATTTCACTGTGATTTCACGCAATGCAAGGTAGTATTGCAAAGTGAAAGATGATTAAATTGATTCTCTAAATCCTGCAGAGATAAATACGGAAGAAGATTAGGGCCACTGAAAAAAAAAAAAGTTAACTGATTTTTTTTATTTTATTTCAGTATAGTATGGGGAAAAAGTCATAATTCTGACTTTAATGTCATAATTCTGACTTTAATGTCAGAATTCTGACTTTTTTCTCAGAATTCTGAGATTAAAGTCATAATTCTGACTTTAATCTCTGAATTCTGACTGAATTCTGACAATAAAAAAGTCAGAATTCTGAGAAAAAAGTCAGAATTTTGACTTTAATCTCAGAATTCTGAGAAAAAAGTCAGAATTCTGAGAAAAAAGTGAGATTTCTGAGATTAAAGTCAGAACTCTGAGAAAAAAGTCAGAATTCTGAGAAAAAAGTCAGAATTCTGAGATTAAAGTCAGAATTCTGATTTTTTCCCATACTAAACTGAAAAAAAAATAAAAAAATCAGTTAACTTTTTTTTTTTTCAGTGGCCCTAATCCTCTTACGTAGATAAAGGTCTGAGAGGAGAGAAATATATTTATATTAATCCCATTTGAGTTAAAGGTTTGTAGATCCAACGTTTGCTGCAATTAGCAGCTGCAACTTTTTATGTCACTAAATTTTTCTCATTCCAGAAGAAATTTTTTGCTTAATCTTTTTTGTAAAATAACTCAAGATCGTCTATTTCAATAAGTTTTAGGTCCTTGCTACAGGTATTCAATTGAATTTAAGTCTGAACCTGGAATGGGCCATTCTTTGTCCTCCTAGAAGCTGCACTCCAGTTTCGCTCGATTCATCTACCCTCAACTCTAACGTTCCTTTAACCCTTTATGGGGCACTCAGTGAAATACCTTGAAAATCAAAAGACAATAGCGTTATTAGAATCCAGGACAAGACCTTTTTACCTTTGTAATATTCAAAAAATATGGATATTTAGATGGCAAATTGCCCGACAATATAAGAAAAATAACAAAAGTGCTTCTATAAGAAACTCATGGAAAACACTCTGAGAGTGAATTAAACACAATTTTTGGTACAACATAACCAAAGACGCATTAATACTTATACTGGCACTTACATTTATTAGTTTATAAACCTAAATATAATTGTTTACTAGGATTATTAACTTTTTACCTTTATTTTTTAACTTTTCAGTTAGCTTTTTACCTTTTTTCTTTTCCCCCCCAACTTAATTTACAGTAGGCAATATATCATTCAAGGGCTCATCTAATTGGTCAGCCATGTAGCAGGATATTTGCTGAGTGGCTGGATATCGATCTTGTTCTTCTAGACCTTACTGAGGGATTTTGGGACATTTGCATACCCCTTACACATCATTTGTAAGGGGTATGCAAGTGATCAAAAATGGTAACTTGCCCTATAAAGGGTTCACTTTTAAAGGCAGACATTCCCACAGCATTATACTGCTTCCACTATATTTTGCTGTATAGATTATGTACAAGGAGATTCAGACTGAACAGAGCTTTCATATCATATATTTTTCATACTTGATTCATACTATGATTAAAAAGTTTTCCTCGTGTTGCCCCCGACGGTTTACTGTGTCACTTCATGATGCTGTTCATTTATCTCTAACATTCTCTGAGGGCTTCACATAACATTTTGATTTATACTGATAAAATAACTTTGCTTTACTCTCCATTAACATATTAAAAGCATATTTTTAAAGCGTCTGCATGCTGTGCATACAGATCATTCTGAATAATGGTGAATCACAGCAGAAGTTAAATGAAACGCTAAGCATCCTGACAGAAGATTCTGCATGTGGATTTAATTAAGGTGCTTAAAAAACAACCCTTTAGTGTTTGCAGTTATTTTTCCTTCAGTATCACAGTCATGCAGGATTTGTTTTGCATAATTTTAAGGTATTTCTGGATCCAACCGTCTCACGGAATCAAGCAATTCACGTATTTGTTGATCATAGATCAGGTCCAAGTCCATGTGCCCTCTCTGTGTTTGCAAAAAGCACAACTCTGGAAACAAGGAGAACAATCAAAACATAACCAAACTATCAATCAAGACGTAATGTCGGACTTTACGCTGTGAATGGCAGGCACCCTTTCAGGAATGTTAAGGAGGATCAATTTAACTTTAACTGATGCCAGACCTCTAAGGAATGGTGAAAGTAAAAAAAAAAACTGTTGTTATGTAACCAGCAGGCATCAAAAATCAGGTCTCAAATAGATCCGAACCAGATGTGAGTTTCCTGCAGCAGCAGTTTAACAACTGTGCCTTTGTTTTAACACTTTGACCTCGGTTACTAGGCTGTAAGAGCAGCAAAACCTGAGCCTCAAGATAAGATTGCTGCACAAAGAAAGTGAGGAAACACATCCGTTTTAAAGAGGTACATGAATTGGAGAGTATAAAGTCCAGGCAGAATTTAATTCTCAAAGCAGTTGAAAACTACTGTTTTTCACACAGAAAGCTAAACAATATATGCTTACCCTCCCTGCATAGTGGATGATGCAGAAGTCCGCCTTGTCTTTTAGTTGCCGAGGTTTCTGAAACTTGGAGTGCGTGCCTAACTCCTGCAGCACTTTGTCCACAAAGGTCTTGTCTGTGGCTTTGGGAAACCAGCACTCCTCATCAAGCAAAGCCAGGATTCCTGGAGGATTATTCTGAGAAGGATAACCACATTCAAAATCAGGAAATCGCTCAAAGAGACCAGCAAAGGGACAGAGACATGCTGTAGTTCACTGACCGGCCTCTCAATGAGGTCAATGCATGGCTGCAGGTCGAGGCCGAAGTCGATGAAGCTCCAGTCGATGCCCTCCCTCTGGTACTCCTCCTGCTCCAGGATGAACATGGTGTGGTTGAAGAGCTGCTGCAGCTTCTCGTTGGTGTAGTTGATGCAGAGCTGCTCGAAAGAGTTTAGCTGAAAATTTAAGATAAAGCAGGGGTCAAGTTAGTCAGGCTGGACTCTACCTTGTTCCTCACACAACCGCTACAGTTGACAGGTGCTTAGCATGGTGCAGGAAAGGGTTTGTTTGAATTAAAAAATCAGGATCAACACCTCAAAGATCTCAAAGCCTGCAATGTCCAGAATGCCAATGAAGGAGGCCCCCTGTCGTTTGGTCCGGTCCAGGGCCTTGTTGATGCGGTGGACCAGCCAGCGGAACAGCCGCTCATACGTCGCCTTGGCCAGGGCTTCAACAGCAAAGTCAGCCTTCATTAACAAAGCAGAGAAAACATCATGAAAAATGCATGACCCAAGAGATCAGAGTTCTGTTTAGGAATTTAAGTATTGCTTTAGGTCCTTAGATGAACTCCATACTAGTTCATTGTGTATTACCACTAGCTGCAAACATTTTGGATTTGCATTTTAGAACGACTTAGAAAAAAATTGCATGCAAAATGAGTCACCATGTGAAAGTTGATCTACAATGATTCCATGTGCAAAGTACAAGAGGTGTAAAAGCAGTTCTGCCCACCGCTATTGATGCTCAGATGAATTATTAAGAAACAAAATAACCCTAATAATAATAGTACATATCATTTACAGTTGACTGCACATGTGAGTATTTTAAAGTGCTATGCACAAAAGTAGAAAGAAAATCTGGATTTAGGTCAACTGATGGAATAAACCATGAAATAAGGGAAAGTAATTTGTATCATTTGTTATTTTTTTTCAATGCAAGTAATGGGAGGAAAAATCTGATTTTGTACAAAGAATGTTCTCTTTAAGCCAAACTGTCTATTAATAAGCAGACTAAACTGAACATTGAACCTGAACCGTAGAGTTGAGTGTAAATGGAAAGATTTCCAACAGAAATTAGTCCTTTCAAGTTTTAGGTAGTTAGTGGCTTTTAATTATGAGACTTCAAGAAGAAGGGCATTTGTTTTAAATATAAATTATGTTCATGTAGCATTAACCTGTAACACTTCTGCACCTTTCTGAGCTATGATTTCTCTAAAAAAAATAAATAAATATTTGAACAGAAAACTTTACAAAGCTTTTTTTTGTAAGGTTTTCTGTTCAAATATTTTTTTATTTTATTTTATTATTTTTTTTTAATATTAAAAAAATATATATATTTAAACAGAAAACTTTACAAAAGTGAGTAGCACTGCTGCCTTGCAGCAAGAAGGTTCTGGGTTCGATTCCTGTTCTGTGGTCTTTCTGCATGTTCTCCCCGGGCATGTTTGGGATCTCCAGGTTCTCCGGCTTCCTCCCACAGTCCAAACACATGGCTGTTAGGTTAATTGGCTTCTCTAAATTGTCCTTAGGCGTGAGTGTGTGCATTAATGGTTGTTTGTCCTGTTTGTCTCTGTGTTGCCCTGCGATGGACTGGCGATCTGTCCAGGGTGTACCCCGCCTGCTGGAGTGGGACTGGAGATAGGCACCAGCACCCCTCGCGACCCCATTCGGGATAAGCGTGTCAGATAAAGGATAGAAAACTTTACAAAGCATGCATCACTTCCTCCAGTTAAGCATGCACAGCCTTACATTGGTCTATCACACAGATCGCTGGTTTAAATGTGAGATTACTCTTAGACTTAGACAGACTTAATTGTCATCTTGTACACACAGAGTGTATACAAAAAAAAATTCATTCAGTAAAGTAACTCTTGTAATGTGCTGTAAACCATTCTTCAGATTACTAGGACAGGTAACAGCAGCGTGAGCCTGTACCTGCTCTTTGGTCTGTGCTTTTTGCACGTAGTCACGTCCCACTTTGATCCTCGGGGTGAGGATGGCTCGGGTGAACTCCATAACATTCATACCAAGCAGGTGGCAGAGCTTCTGCGCCGCTAAGAGAAGAGAAGAGCCACAAGTGGGTTAATTACTGTATTATATTTATAGATACATTTACAAGCAAATATTCTAAAAAAGTTCACAATTTAATTAACAACAACCTCCTAAATTAAACCTTCCCTCTCGAGTCAAATTGTTAGATTTCTATCTGCAAGAATGACAGTTAAAAAATAAGCAAGGAAAAAGAAAAACACTATTTTAAAAATATGAATAGAAACATAAGAGCTATAAAAAGGAGAAATCAGTCAAATTCTAATCTGCAGACTTAAGAAGAGTGTATAAATAGTCTGGCCCTGAAATAGTACATTTTAATTTGCTTTAGCTGGATACTTATGCCATTAAACATGGGTATCAGGCTTATCAAATAAAAGTCAACTAAGAAAAAAATATATCTTCTATGATGTCAATTAATGATTTTTCCTGCTCATTATTATCATTATTATTATTATTCCGTGTAGACAATAGTAGGATGATATAAAATGGGATTAAGTTCCCTCATATCTTCCAGCTTACCCGTGTTCTCAGGCATTGAGGCTTGATCGGTGTTCCTCTCCTTCTTGAACACAACGTTGCCAAACTGCAGCACGGCAGACACCACCTTTAACATGCCTGATAGATTGAAAGAACAATAAAACTTTATCCCTTCACTGCAGGGAGAGTCGGGTAGTGCTTACATAAAAAAAAAGGGATGCAGAAGTTGAAGGAACATCTGGAAGTGGTACTTACAGACTATCTCATCATGGGTGAAGCCCATTATGTGCATCGCATCCATTGTCTCCTGGAAGTTCTCCTTGTCCTGCTGTCCCGGGATGGGAATGTTACCATTGGACAAGAACCTGTAGCTGTTAAATCCCTCTAGAAGCAGGTCAGCTGATTCAGGAAAAGAAGGAAAACTGTTAATAAGACGTTAATAAGAAGTTTTCAATTAAAATTTCATCTATTACAAAACAAACAGATCCAATTTATATAAAAAGTACATACAGACGGTTCAGTTGCATGAAATAAACACAAGAAACAGTTCTTCATCCTTTCAGCTTTTTAAGACTGGCTCCAGAGAGCGGTTCAAAGTTGTTTAGACTCGGCAAAGTCTGATTATGTTTTGCATCATTCTGAAACAATGTGTTAATGGAGTAAATTAAGAGTATCTGGTCACATGTCCAGGTTGTTTTAACCCAAACCAGGATCCTACAGCTCTCCGTCTTGCCAGCACACAGACAGACACTCACTTCGAAGGTGCTCCCCAGCTCCTGCCAACAGGCGGTAGAAAATGTGGAAAGTCCTCTCGTCTTTTGCCTGTCTGATGGCTCTGGACTTCTCTAGAAGATCTGAAGGCCAAAGCTAAGGACTGGCAAGAATATCTGGATCTGTACAATTAAATTCCCTAAAAACAAATACCGTAATTAAAACACAAGCAGTGCTTTACGATAATAATGTTCCCTTGAGCCTTAATGTTTTGTGACAACACGGCCCCACACAATATGGTTTATGGGGATCTTTATACAAATTAGTATAGAAGAATAAGAAACATACATACACTACCGTTTAAAAGTTTGGGGTCACATTGAAATGTCCTTATTTTTGAAGGGAAAGCACTGTACTTTTCAATGAAGATACCTTTAAACTAGTCTTAACGTTAAAGAAATACACTCTATACATGAAGATTTCCTACAACGGTGTGTACTACTCCCTTCAGAGGACAGCACAAATAGGCTCTAACCAGAGTAGAAAAAGAAGTAGGAGGCCACGTTGCACAACTGAGCAAGATGATACTGTAAGTACATTAGAGTCTCTAGTTTGAGAAACAGACGCCTCACAGGTCCCCAACTGGCATCTTCATGCAATAGTACCCGCAAAACACCAGTGTTGACATTTACAGTGAAGAGGCGACTGCGGGATTCTGGGCTTCAGGGCACAGTGGCAAAGAAAAATCCATATCTGAGACTGGCCAATAAAAGAAAAAGATTAAGATGGGCAAAAGAACACAGACACTGGACAGAGGAAGACTGGAAAAAAGCATTGTGGACGGATGAATCCACGTTTTAGGTGTTTGGTTCACAAAGAAGAACGTTTGAGAGACGCAGAACACATAAAAAGATGCTGGAAGAATGCCTGGCACCATCTGTTAAGCATGGTGGAGGTAATGTGATGGTCTGGGGTTGTTTTGGTGCTGGTAAGGTGGGAGATTTGTAAAGGTTAAAAGGGATTCTGAATAAGAAAGGCTATCACTCCATTTTGCAACGCCATGCCATACCCAGTGGACAGCGCTTGATTGGAGCCAATTTTATCCTACAACAGGACAATGACCCTAAACACACCTCCAAATTGTGCAAGAACTATTTAGAGCAGAAGCAGGCAGCTGGTATTCTATTAGTAATGGAGTGGCCAGCGCAGTCAGCAGATCTGAACCCCATTGAGCTGTTGTGGGAGCAGCTTGACTGTATGGTACGCAAGAAGTGCCAATCCAACCAATCCAACTTGTGGGAGCTGCTTCTGGAAGCGTGGGGTGCAATTTCTCCAGATTACCTCAACACATTAACAGGTAGAATGCCAAAGGTTTGCAATGCTGTAATTGCTGCAAATGGAGGATTCTTTGACGAAAGCAAAGTTTGAAAAATCTTATTTTAAATACAAATCCTTATTTCCAACCTTGTCAATGTCTTGACTCTATTTTCTATTCATTTCACACCGTATGGTGGTGAATAAGTGTGACTTTTCAGGAAAACACAAAATTGTTTGGGTGACCCCAAACTTTTGCACAGTAGTGTAGTTTTTCAAAATTTCAAAACTATGGACACAATTTAATGTCACGATTGAAGCATGGTAACAAGATGCGGTCCAGTCAAAGTCCATATCCAATATCAACTGTTATTTTAAAACAGATTTGTGAACATTTTTCTTTAATAATATGTTAGATTAACAACATCAGTGAACATCTAAGTCTCCAGATGTGCAAAGCAATAGCAATGCAGGATGCAATAAATCCAGCACTGTGGTTCTGTTAATAAAGGGAATGAATAGAAATGCACAATGTCATTTTCTGAGAGAAAATCTTATATGCATTCGGTTACACCTCACCTCACCTTGTTTTGTGAAAACTTTTGCAAAGTAGTAAAAAACATCTAAATATCATTCTAATAAAATCATCTCTTCCCTTTCAGATGTGTTAAAACAACAAAATGACAGAAAATATGAATTAAATTAGGAAAATGTGAGCGTTGGTTGGGAAGCAAACAGACACACTATGAGTCTGGTTGTTCTGGATCTCTCAACAGGCCTTCATTTTAACTCCTTATTTAAACAATGAGCCGTCAATCAGCTCTTTATTAGAGGATACAGGTTTCAATATTGGCTCCAACGATGTATCCTGTTACGTCAAAGTTGACTCTGATAAACTTCCCCTGTGGAACAAGACAATTAACTCTTAATTAGTCAAACAGACTATGATATATCCACATGTACACATTTATATGGCTTCATATGTTTGCATACATTTTCCCCTGATCTTTTATTTGTTTCTCCTTGTGGGGCCAGCTCTATTTAACATACCCCCAACCCCCCTGTGGTTTCTTGCTCACGACAAAAATGCAGAGAGGAACCAAAATGCCTATATTAGGAAGTGCCAGGTTAACATGTCAAGCAGGAATCTGAGGCATGTCTGTGGTTTCCTGACAGCGACTGTGTGTAGGTCTGCGAGGACGTGCACCCTGCTAGTATTCACTGCTGCTCATCGGACACACCTGTGATTAATGTGAACCCGACCACCACAGAGCTTAATTTTGACCACATGGTTTACTCAGTCACAAAGAAATGTTAAACGCCTGGGGCGGAAGCTCTTTAGATTAGTGTGAACCAAACCAGGTTCAATGAGCAGCACTTAATGTAACAGATTTCCATCCTAATAAAACATTAAAAGCTCACAAAGTGACATTTATTTTACACATATAGATAGATAGATGATAGATAGATAGATAGATAGATAGATAGATAGATAGATAGATAGATAGATAGATAGATAGATAGATAGATAGATAGATAGATAGATAGATAGATAGATGATAGATAGATAGATAGATAGATAGATAGATAGATAGATAGATAGATAGATAGATAGATAGATAGATAGATAGATAGATAGATAGATGATAGATAGATAGATAGATAGATAGATAGATAGATAGATAGATAGATAGATAGATAGATAGATAGATAGATAGATAGATAGATAGATAGATAGATAGATAGATAGATAGATAGATAGATAGATAGATAGATAGATAGATAGATAGATAGATAGATGATAGATAGATAGATAGATAGATAGATAGATAGATAGATAGATAGATAGATAGATAGATAGATAGATAGATAGATAGATAGATAGATAGATAGATAGATAGATAGATAGATAGATAGATAGATAGATAGATAGATAGATAGATAGATAGATAGATAGATAGATAGATAGATAGATAGATAGATAGATAGATAGATCTGATATTCCTAATTTTCCTTTTTATTTCCAAGAGAGCATAACTCTACTTGAGGAACTGAAGAACAAACTTTTTTTTGTTCACGATTGTTCATGATGTTTTCTCTTTTGAATTAACTGTCTAATATAAACACAACAACTGCAATCAGAAATATTACTACAAAAAACTTTTTTTAAATGTTCATCTATACAACAGGTATAAATTTATACCTGAACTGAGATGCATGATATTAGCTTCCAGATAACACGACAAGAATTCAAGTAATTTTTTTACTATAGTTTAATATTACAGTTTTTGTAAAATAACAATGCCCTAGATCCCTAACTCTATTTTAAAGCATATTAAACCAGCGTAAATAAATCAAGTTAAAATTAAAGGGGAACGCAGTTTTTTGTACATTGGGCCCTTGATGACGTCATACACACTCCGCTTTGTTTTTAAGAGATATAAATATAAATAATATAACCGCAGAAGTCTGGGGGACAGTGATTCACCTACATGTTATGAATGCTGGCGTACCATAAAGAATAAATTATGAACAGTTTAGTTTGTGCCTTCAACTCGTTGCCCATAGGAAGACGTTACTTTGATATAACCTAACGGAATATCTTCAGAACGGCTCCAAATGACACAAACCTCATAAGGCTGAGTAGAACATGATGTAATAATGTAAAATCAAGGGCCCAGTGTAAAAAAAAAACGGCGTTCCCCTTTAAAAACAAAAGTCTCTGTTATATTTACACCTACAGTTATTTTTCAATTCTACCATCATTTCTTAATTGGAAGAAATGTTGACACTTTAGAGTGGCTCAGATAGAGCACTGGTATGAATTTGATGAGGGTGATGGCAAAGAGGTCTTCCAAATGCAGACTTTGGCTACATTCACATAACATGAATTCCATTTTCCTGCTAAAATTTAACGTTTTTTCACATGATGGTTCATACTGTTAATTAAGTACCACCATGAGATTTGTCTGAAAGTCCCCAAAGCGAGCCCTATGTATGTGTAGAGGGAGAATGTAAACAGCCTACAATTTAAAAGGGTTTTATAGAAAATTTCAAGGGAAATATAAAATATAAGGTTAGGACTACTTTAAAAGGGTTGCAGGCTTCTTGATATGTTGGTGACCAAATAATGTTATATTTTTATGTCTTCCTGTGAACACAAGAGGGAAACTCAATCTCCTTCCTTTCTTACTCTAAAATATTTTTTAATAAGACCAGTCTCATGCCACAGCATCCTTATTAGCATATTCCCCATTAAAGGAGTTGAACAAGAACTGATAAAGGTGAAGCATTGGTTTCCTCCCTGAACGTCTTTGAATAAAATAAAGTTCACTTAAACAGATAATATAACTCACAAAACGGGATGAGTTGTCGTTCTTCACAGTCTTGGCATTGCCAAATGACTCTAGGATGGGATTGGCTTGTAGGAGCTGACGTTCCAACTCCCCCTATAAGCAAAAACAAAGAGGTAAGAGGCTTTCTGATTCTTTTCACGATTTATACTGCTACACACACAGCAAGGTTAGGTAAAGGAAATAAATCATAAACAGCAGAAAGAGAAAAATAAAGCCAAGGCAAAATGCTAAGCTTTAATTCATCAAGGTTCTGTCATCATTGGGTAAAACATCTGCTAAACAGACACCTTTCAGTTTCAACGGCCAATGCAACCAAACAGTTTAATGGACCTTAAGGGAGGTGCTCTCATATGCAAACTTTACACTGTAGCTACATTAACCAAACTTAAATGGCCTGTACTATAGCACTTTTTCAAGTCAGGACACTTGACCAAAGCGCTTTAGACTACATTTAACCATTCACGCATAAGGAGACAACAACACTGAAAGCTGGAGCTGAGGCTTGAACCGTCAACCCTTCGATTTCAGGGCAAACTCCTACATCCAACGCCACTGTCTTTAAAAACTGGAAATATCCTGAGAGTTGTACTGAACGAATTTCTTTTTGTACACACTGTGTGTACAAAATTAAAATAAAGTCTAAGTCTGATACACAGATCAGTCTGCAATATGAGGTTAAGTGCCTTGCCAGGGGGACACTGAGCTGGAATAGAGCCCACAACCTTCACCCACTGACCCACAGTCACCCATTGAGCCACAGAGGATGTGTCCAGACATTTGATTGGTAGATTAATTGTAGAGCCACTCTTAAATATATAAAAAGCTATTTCAATTTGGAGGTAAAACGAGAAATCTCTCCATTTGGTAAACATTCAACATGACAAATCCAACCTTAAGGGATTGGGAAGATGGATGGAGACAAAAAGAAGAGCTTTCTAAGAAAGATGGACTCTAACAGAAATCTAAATACATACCCTACAAACTCACTCATCATGATATGAAAAAACAAAAAACAATTAAGAGTGTATTCCAAAAAAGTTTAAAAAACAATCCACTGGACTTTATTTCCAAGTTGAAGGCGTTTCACTTCCCATCCAGGACGTTTTTTCAATTCAAAATATCGGTTATAGCGTTGAGTTCGAGGTTTTATACAGTAGCCCAACAAAGCCTTGTTTTTGCTTAAAAACATGCAAATTGAAACAGACGAACAGGTCTACCCCTTGGAATGGAGGTCGTTTGGCTTCTTTTGTTAGCCTGCAATGACCTATACCTGTCTATGTCTCTGAAAGGGGGGTCATTTAAAATCGTAGGTAAGCGGGTGTTCCAACCTTTGCATTTCCGAATTCTCCCGAGTGGTGCCCGACTTTACACAAGTGAATAAAGTGAATTTGATTGGTCAATTATCAAGGGGGCGGGATTGTTGTGGCGGAAGGTTCGCAAGCATGTTTGGTTGTGGCCGGTTTATTCGAAAGCATCTTGCTAACCAGTTAGCTACTTAGTGCTAGTAGGTTCCCAATGGGAAATTACATTGGGATCAAGTAGCACTAAATTAGTGACTTAGAAACGACACTGTCAAGGAACGCTATGGACAGAGGAAACATGCAAGAGGAGGAGAATTTTGATGGATGAGTCTCCTCTGTCATACATTTTTTATGTAGAGGAGAAAAGTAGGGACGAAGTTGTGGAAGAGGACGCCAGGGTGGCAGAAGCTTGGTTTGGTGTAGAATAGAGACTGACATTTTTTCGGGAATCCCACGGGTCACGGGATACCCGTGGGATTCCCGTGGGATGGGAGTCAGTATTAGTAACGATCACGGGATTGGGACGGTACAGGATTAAACATTAACGGGAGAAGACGGGAGCAAACCAATAGTAACTTCCGCTCTGAGTTTTTCACCCGTGCTCAAAAATAACAAGAATGGGAGTGGTGCAGGAGCGGGAGTCATTCTGAATGGGAGCGGGATGGGAGTGGGAGTAATTTCACCAGGAGTGGGACGGGACAGGATTTAGATTTCTACTCTGGCCCGGGATCGGGACGGGACACCATTTTTTTCTGTGGGAGTGGGACGGGACAGGAGTGAAAATCCACTCCCGTGTCAGTCTCTAGTGTAGAAGGCTTACAGCCGTACATGTTTGAGCCCTTGCCTCACAACGCTGCCAGTTCTGTTAGCTCTACGCCTGCCGAAAACACAGACGTCAATCCCCGTCAACACTGGGATGGAACTCAATGGGATAGGAAATGATTCTTATTTCAACCGTTGCGTATATTAGCTGCGATGAATCAAGATGCTATGACTAAAAAAAATCTGATTGACAGATGTCCGTTGATATATGATTGGCCGAATTTAGGTGTACAAGCTGACGTTTATCTAACTGGCCTGCATAAGATAACGGGAAAAAAACACAGATTTTAAGACAGGATTTTTTTGAAAAATAGAAATTTTCTAACTTTTGAGACAATATGGTCTAATAAAGAGTACATTTATGTGCATGTTTATGCTAGAATGATTGGAAATTTAAATATGGCTTCCCTATGACTTTAAGGGAATTGTTGGTCTAGCTGAATAGGCAAGGTCTTCTGTTCCCCTGTAAAGGGGTTGGGGTAGCGATGATAGCGGGAAGGAATCAACTCAATTGCTGCATTGTAGGTTTTGAAAGCTGAAATCTGAGTTCACCCAGTCTGAAACGGACGAACCCCTTTTTTCAAACTTGGTACCATACCTTATTTTTCTACTTTTTTGGGAGGACTATGACCTGGATGACTGAGAATCTTCCCCAGCAATTAAGAGTTTAATACTGTTTTTTTTTTTTTACTTTCTTTTTACTCAATATATTTAGTAATCTAGAGGTTCCAATAATACATTTTTTTTTCTAATAAAATTTGCTCTCCTTGTTAATATTTGCAGTCCTATTCCTATTCTCCATGACTGGGTAACAAGGAGCATGCCAGTATATCTCTTCTACCCTAACCTACATCAACTCCACCCACCTACTTCCAGTCACTTCTACAGCACTATTTCTGAGCTCTTCCTCAATCCCTACATTCCTCTGGCCTGCACACAGCGGCAGCTGTAATGCAGAGCAGAAGGAAAGCTACATTAAGAAGGTCAGTGTGGACGGTTCAGCTTTTAACTCTCAGCTACTGGAACTCAGCTTTTTAACCCTGAACTCCGACTGTCTGAGCCAAATGTTTAAGGTCATAAAGAATAGACAGATTATGAGACCTCCATCTGCAGGTATAAGGTTTGCAAACATCAGGTTTTAATTTAGGGGGAAAAGAAAAAAAGGAAACGTGCAGATAAGGCAGCAAAGGGAATACAGAACTGCCTAAAATTAAAAAAGAAATTAAAAAAAGAGAGGAAGGAGTTGTGGCAGTAGCCTCTTTTTAAATCTAGAAAAAAAAGCATTAAAATATGATATCCTACCTAAGAAATACAGCAACAAATATTTAAATAGGCCTCAAACTACAGGCATGCATGTAAAAATACAACACCATAAAAAGATGGATTAACGTGGCAAACATTTGTTTTGAATTCTTCAATTTAAAACAACAAATAGGAAAAAAAACTGAAGAAGCTGGAGGAGAGTTGTTTGGTGTGGCTGCCATCTGATCTGCACATTGCTCAACATCAGGCTACACAGACTCCATTAGGACTTAATGAAGAGTGTTTTACTGACCGGCATGTGTTTCTAATGAAACCTTCATTTCAAACAGTTTTAACAAAGCGGGACCAACTGATAAAACAATGTTTTATTATCACAAGCCTGCTGGTTTAATGGAAGAGTCGCTGCTTTCCAAAAACCATGTGAGAAGACTGAGCCAGCACAAACAAATACCTCATAACATCATAGCTAAGATTAGTCTGTCAGCATCATTATGGAAGAGCCAGAGATTTAAAGGGCAGGGCATGCAGATCAGTACAAACGTCAAAACAAACGACACACTTGTCCGGAGATCCACTTGCCTGCAGCTTGAATGCTTTGGGAGAATCGGGCTGTTCGTAATGGATAAACAAATGTCAGTGTTAAAAACTGAAGGGCTCGTATCGCATACAAGCAACAGAAAACAGAACACCGGCACACATTAATCTGTTTCTGGAAATGCTCTCACATTGTGGCGTAGCCTGGTATAACTCATCACAAAGGAAAGATGTTAAATACTACAATATTTATTCAAAACAAATGATTTTCAAGGGGAAAAACTTTCTAAAATAGCAGCTAGTGAACATTAGATTGTGGATTAATACATTCTAAGCTAGCTAGCCCATTACACATTAAATTAACTGGCTAACAACCTTTGTTCTATATTTATTGTTTCAATTTGTTTTTAAAAATGTGTGAAAAGTCCAGAATTTATCATAAATTACAATAATGAAATCCAACAAAAAAAATAAAACTCAAATACCTATTCCGTGGGAAGTTATAATGTTTTGAACTATTTTCTAAATTTAAGCTAGCAATTATTGTGCCAGCTCTTTGGACAATCCATTTAACAACAAGAGGAAAACTAACATTTTAACAACATTTTAGGTTTTCTACAAACACTGATGAAAAAATTGTCTGTTTTTCATGTTTCAAATTTACTTATTATGCTTAACTATCCTATGACATCCCATTTCTTGTTTATGATCAAATTCATAAATAATCATGACTAATAAAATAATCTTCAACTAATGTATAAATAATTACATGGATATATCTACAAATATTATTTGCTTTTTTTTGCCATTTGTAATTTATTTAAAATTTGCATAAAGGGTTTTCTTTTTTTTATATTCTAAACGTTTAATTATTTAAAAATATTAATTTACTAATCAAGATTAAATAAATACTTAAATAAATGCTTAATTCAGACCTAAAGATACACCAGATTTGTATTTTAAATGACTGGTATTTTAAGGATGCTTTTATTACAAATAACTCTAAACATTCTCAGGTTTTTTGGAGAAAAATAGTCCCACAGCATCACAGATCCTTCGCCTTATCTAACACTGGAAAGACCCCCTTTTTTTCCACAATTATTCCTTATTTTAAGGTTGAAGCTGGAATACTCTCTTGTTTTTGTTGTTTTCTTTGTCCTTGTTTTTTTTTTTTTGGCTGAAACAATCAATCTTAAAAGTTTGGCAAACCAAAGATGCCAATATTGGATGCAGTTCTCAAACAGTGAGCTTTGGAGATGTTTTTATTTTCAATTTTGCTCAATCTGTGTGGGGATTCTTAGAAAGTCCAAAATAGTTAATTTATAGTTCCTTAAAAATATCAGATTTACCATAAATTGCAAAATATTCATCTAAAAAACATCTTTAGCTAAATATTTTTAACTTATTGGGGGTTGTGGCACCTCTGCATTACTTCTGAATTTTACAGAGTCAGATTTTGATGCTGAATTCCAAGGCATCTAATTTAGCTGCATCTGTTTAGATGTCCCCCCTATCATATTTTAGATGGGATCATTTTCAGAGTGGGGGTCAAGAAAAAAATGGAAAGGACAGAGTAGGGGAAATGAAGGCAGTGGGGCTCACTGGAATGTTGTGGTCTTTGCGTCCTTTGTGTGAGGAGGCAACATGGGCCAGGTACTGGATGACCTTCTTTGTGTTCTCAGTCTTGCCAGCTCCTGATTCACCTCTAAAAAGAAGAGTTTAGACAAAAACATGTATTCAAAAAGATAACAAATGAAGTATGGATGAAAGAAACAAGAGCAAGAAGTTTTATTAACATGAATATGTGTTCGTTGTCTGACAATTTACACATTAATCTAAAAAAAAACACTGTAAATCCATGTATAAAATCCCCTTTAAGCAATACTATTGTGGTAAAAACTGACTGGACAAATACCAAAATCATCAGGGTTTTATATCTATTCCTTGTTTGTCTATGTTCGACTGGAGAATGCTTTGGTCTGGTGAAACAGTCTCCAAAGTTTCCAGGCTCTGCTTTGGGGTTGTCTCTAATGATAGCTGTGTACAGGCAGGGCCGTTCACAGTTCCCACAGTCACGTCTCAGAGCCAACAGCAAAACCAGGCCAGCAGCACTACATCTAGCTACATGCCAGTGGTTTTAGTGTAGCTGGTTATTAGTTCCACTGCATATAGTACAGGTTTGTAGATGTTTCACTAGAAACTGTGGGGCGAGTCCTCGAATGCAGAACCAAGCCATTCAAATGTAGGTCAAATCAGGAGTCAATCTGCATTTGATTTAGTTTTTAAAGCAGCAAAGTTGGAGCCTTGGGGAAACAAGTTCCAAATTATAAAAAAAAAAATCAGCTTTAAGGATTTCTTTAAATTGCTCATCAACTGAGACTAAATGCTCAATTAAAACCAAGATGGCAATATATTGATTTTAATTTAGTAAATAAAAAACAATCTCTATTGTTGAGCGTTAAAGTGTAGAGCCCTGATTAACTTATCAATCATAGATTAACTCTAATTAAAATTTTTTAAACAGGATAGAAGACTAAAATTACAGATAAGGCCTGAAAGTTAAAGGTAGGAGGATCTTTTATTTCCGGGTGGATCATCTAAATAAGTGGTCCTCCTAACTGTCAATCATTCTGGTGATATGTTTACGTAAGGCTATCTTTTTCTGCTCATGCGCACTTTCAGGCGTATATCTGTGGTGAGCTATGGTTTTAGATAGTCATTGAAGCTAAGCTTTCTCACTGTGGTTCTTTGAAAATGGAGAGAAAAAGTGTCTATGATGTGTATGAGAAGAAAAGAAAGGCCTCAGAAGAGGCAGATATATCCCAGAATGCTTTGCACGGTAAGCTCTCCTCGCAAAGCGGCCCACTGTCGCCATAGGTTTTCGCTACCTGACAGCGGCGACTAATAAAGATGGCGAAGGCACCGCGCAGTGGAGGAGGAGTTACATGACCAACGGAGCCAAAAGCAGGGATTATCTGTCCAAATGGTCAGTTAACTGAGTTTGCCATGAAGTCCACTATATAGTCCCTGCAGTATGTGGATACAGTAAGCTTGTATGAGCTATAAGAACAGCACATTTTAAAAGGGTGTGCACGAGGAGAAATGGGCTTGTGCATGCTCTCACACATGCTTTTTTTCTTTAAAGTGGGCAGCTCTTTTAAAAAATTCTCCACGATATCTTTAAATATGCTTCCATGCATTCTTTAGTACTGTAACCGATGGCAGAGGTACATAAACCTCCAGGAAGCTGTTAGGAAACATCCTGATGCATGTGGAGTTGGCATTTTAGTAGAACAGCTGTAAAAGCTGATATTAAAAACTATTTGGCCAAATTATCAAAAACCTTGTAACTTTCCTTCCATGTGGTTTATTTTTTGTTACAGTGTAGCAGGTATTTTATTATCATAACTTTGCCTACATAACAAAATGCCGAGTGATGAAAATACTTCATCGGAGTTTCAAGAGGATACTCATAACCATAAGTTTTTCAAATGTGTGCAAATCTTATTCATGAGCCAATGTGCAACATGTGTCGATGTTCAGTCGTTCTTAGGAGAAATGTTGCAAAGCTGATTCATTATCGTCATGAAGAGATGTCATTTTCAGCTCGGGTTTGATGTCCCTGGCAGCTCATGCCAAGTTCAAAGAAAGTGCCACTTAATTACACTCTGACGTAGAGGACGAGGGAAGGCCGGCTAACCACACTCATAACTCTCTCAGTATATGGCAGAACCACTGTACAGCCCCGCATCCGCAAAAAAAGCTATTTGTAACCAGTCCTTAAATAAAACAGCAGGATGGTGGAGCAGGGCAACTTCTTTAGAGTGAGGGAAATGGAAAAGGGCTTTATGGATATAAAAGAAATGGGGAAACTACATTGTAAAGAAGGAAGAATTCCTCAAGTTTATATTTTTATAAAATCCTATTTTAATGACTGCTAAGTTTACATTTATAAAAAAAAATGAGAGAGCAGTACTCACGTGCAAAGGATTGATTGGTCCTCTCGGTCTGTGTAAAAAAAAGAGAAACCCTCAGTTTATTCTGGTTAAACAACAACAAAACGTTCCTTTTAATGGTTCAGCTTTTTTCAACTTTACTCACTAACACAGTGGTGAGATTTCAGATAATCCTGTAAATATTAGTTAAAGTTAACCAGACCAGGGTTTATTCTCCTTCATTTCTAACATGGAATTCTAACACACTGCTTCAAAGTCCAACTAGCTGAATGTGTTGACATTATGTTATACAGCCATTCCTCAGGCCGCCACAGCAAGGCTCGCAGTGCAAAGCCATGCTGTGCTATGACCTTAAGCTGACTGCCAGAGCAGTAACTAAAACTCAGACAGCTTTCAACGCTGGAGACTTCATTCTATGTCCAGATGACAGACTCAGTGTCAAATAGGTAACCTCTCAACTCCAATACAGTAAATGTTCAACAAGGACCTGACATGTTTATTACATACAGCATGAGCTAATTTTTTATTTATCATTTTCACAATCACAGACTCTGATTAAGAAGTAAAAATGTAGTTCTTCAAGTGTCAATAGATTACATTGAAACTAGGAATATGGCAGATTTTTTTTCATAAAGGCAGGCTAACACTTCCCGGTGCATGCTAATGAGTTTAAAGCATTTATTTTGCTGAATGCACTCTGCTTGAGTTACTCTGTTTATTCATATAAGCTAAATCAACAAGTCATATCAAATATGACTTCACTGTTGAGGTAAAGTACTCACTTATATTGCAGCAAACTAACTTTAAGCACATTATGATCACCTAAATTGCAGGAGTGGGAAGGTTAGTGTCTTACTCTCATAAATATATTAAAAATTCACGATTTTAAAAGTGCATGTTGTTAAATTGCAATTTTATTGCAAATGCTAATCATGCCCGAAGCCCACTGAAAACTAAAGTAAAAACTCTTTAATAAATCCATCACTTTTTTTTGTTTGTCCAACCAATAGGTGATAAAGTCTGGTGTAATTATTTTTCTAGTGATCTTAGCAAATATTATAACAGCTAAGGGGAAGGATAAAACATATATACACTCAACAAAAATATATGTGCAACACTTTTGGTTTTGCTCCCATTTTTAAGAGATGAACAATAATAAGATGAAAAATATCCACATACACAATATAACCATTTCCCTCAAATATTGTTCACAAACCACTCTAAATCTGTGAAGGTGAGCACTTCTCCTTTGCTAAGATAATCCATCCCACCTGAACGGAGAGCCATATCAAGATGCTGATTAGACACATTGATTAGGGCACAGACTGACCACAATAAAAGGCCACTCTGAATGATTGTTTAATATTTAGTAAATTACCAGCCACCCAGACCCTCTGCTTTTGACCTGCTGTTACTCCTGACAACCCCATGTCATTCCCTGTCAAGGTCTCGCTGTCTGTCGGCATTTCACAAAAAAAAGCACAGGTGAAACTTCACAGAATCCTGCGAAATTGTTACTATAAAAAACTTTTGAATCACCTTGGGGGAGACCATAATTTTTTTTGGATAAGCCCCAAAATTTCTGAAAAAAAAAGGAGTTGACTTTGGTTCATCCAGTTGCAGCTCTGATTCGGCTGGACTTCCCTGTAAATCTACTCCCTCAGAAAGCACTGATGCTGGGCAGTGTGAAACTACAGAACAGGCTCTGTGCTCGAGGTAAGTGAGGACAAGCAGTGTTTTTAGGACTAAAGTGAAACAGCTTTTTTAACGCCACCTAAATACCTCTTGAGTGCATTCTTTATTTCTACCTGTTTTAATATTATTTTGTCTGTATTCCATTGAAAGAGGAAAAAGCTTAGCCTACAACAAGTCCTTAATTAGGTTGCCGTGTGTCAATTTCATAGAAAAGTTCAGATTTTTCAACTGCGATTACTGCTCCTCTCTCCATGCGGTGCTGCTGTTTAACAACCCCTGAGCTCTATCTAGTAGCACGAGGTGAGGCAGAAGGACTGAATGCTCTCACCGCTCGCAGCTTCACCGCCCTCCACTGTGTTGTTTGTATAGGGATTCTTTGTAAATCCACCGCACTCTCCATGTTCACCACGTGCTGTGTGAACGCAGCATAATAGTAAAACAAAATATATTTTAAAAAATTTTAAATCAGAGTAGAGCTGTAAACTTCATACTAAATCGAGGTTTCTGAAAGCCTTACATTCTTTAAAAGTATTTGTTAGCCTAATGCTACGTTCACAGCTAAAGCAGCAGAGGCAGCAGAAGCAGCTACTTTACTTGCAAAGTCAATGGTTGACATGCATCTTGGTGCAGCAAAAGGTCCTTCAGTGCATTTTTTTTTTGTGCATGACTCCCAGGATTTGCTGGGAAAGCAGCAGCTGCTGGAGTTTGAAAATTGAACTTCTCCTGCTCGATGTGCCGCATCAACCAATCAGAGAAGCTGATCTGGGAGCTGGCAGGGAGACAGACACAGCTCTGCTGATGCAGATCGCTGTGATTGCTCCACTGAAACAGTTTATTAACACCTAAATTAACTTAAAATGTCGAAACCTGGTAGCAAAAAGTGTTCGCTTTTATTATCCTGGTTCCTGGAGTTTGGATTATGTTTGTGAGAAACACTAACATCTACTTCCACCCACCATGAACAGTAGTAGAAAACCACAAGGAGGCGAGCGGGCCAGAGATTGCTGTTGAACAGGACTCCTTGCACCGTCGGTATACAGGGTTTTGAGCATCTCTGACAGAGAAATAATATTTGAAGGCAGGATCATAAACTTGATGAACTGACTGCATATATTAAGTTTTCAGGTGAACTTTCTCACTTACAAACTACTAATTTTTACCCGCTGATCACAGCAAATTTGACTGCTATCGTTACAGGCAAAGAAAGGACAGAGTAGCTCCGCCCAACGCACATCAGACACACTTATCAATTGCGCAGCCAGAGCAGCAAAGATGCTTCAGCCGTGCGTCAGAACTAAACTTGTGTAGGCATGAAAAATGAAGCAGCACACACGATTTAGCTGCTCCTGCTGCTTGCGGTGTGAACGTAACATAACAGGCATTTCCTCACACCTTCCTTATGACAGCCAGTTTTTACAGGTGGCTTAAACAGCTTTAAAGGGTTGTATTTCATGAGGAAAGTAACCTTTAATTCATGCACTAAAGTATGAACCTCTGTTAAGCAGCAAAGGTTTACTTTGTACCAAGTCAAATTACCCATCAGTCCACATCTGATGATAATTATTAAAGAAAAGTTGCCATTTACATTGAAAGTCTTTTTTTAATGCTAAATGTAAAGTAGATATCTTTAAAAATACTACGAATAAAACATGCAAGCTTGTCGTCTGAATGATGAATGAGCTGCTTATTTAAAGAAGTGATGTTTCCTTCAATAATGAGTCAAAGTTTGATCACTTTTCCAGTTCTTATTCTATTCACTTGCTCTCTACAGGTCTGATGGTAATCATATGTACCAAAGGAACAACTCCCAACGGAGGACTGGGAAACTCACTGTAACCAAACACACACACTCACTGCACAGCTTCTTACTCGCATCGGCTATGAATTACATGATTGAACAGAGGAAGAATTTAATGAGTGACCTCATACTGTGACACTAACACGTGTTCCTAATCTTTAAGGAATGAGGAAAAAGTGGAATCTTGTTTATTTAAAAGATTCAGCCTCAGATATAAAAAAAAAAAAATCACTAAAAACTTTTAATGGAAATAAAGGAAAAATATAAATCCTCAAATTATCAGTGATATTTCTTATATTTGTCCATCTTTTCATCCCAATCGCAATAATTATTTACTTTATTTTGGTCTGTCATCTAAAATTCAAGTGAAATAGGTGTGTTTTTAAACTGTAATGTGACGTTGCTAAAAAGCTAAAAGGATCTGAATAACTTTGCAAACAAACAGCTAAATCCAGTTTACCCAGGGTGCCCTGCTGGCTGGGCGAGCGTCAACCAATAAAACAGAAAATGCTCTTCCCCTCCAGTAGCTTACTGCCGCCTCACTAAATCTCCTCTTCTTTTGTGTTTCACCTTTCCCTCAGTTGCTCTCATTTCCCCCTATTTTTCTTGCCCCATGAATGGTGCAAAGACAAATTACTCCCAAAACTGGAGGTTACAAAAAAGCTCCTTCTTTCCAACAGATGGTTTTAATTTGAGAAGTGTTATTGCTTTTAGCTGCTTTCATATTTCCTTTTACACCTCACACCTAATTATTCAGAGGGTCAAAAGAAACTGATCAACTTTAAAAACATAACTATGTATGTAGAATGCTGTATATTGTGTAGATGGTTATAAATGTTGCACAAGGTAATAAAATAAAGCAGATATTATCCAGTGCAGTTCAAAAAGTTTATGTATCGGCTGACATGAATAAATCTAAACTTTTTGTATTTTTTTTGCTCAATAAAACTCTTTTCTGCTAATAATCTTTCTCTCAAAACAATGAATCAAACCCTCATTCTTAAAATTTCAGTGCCTCATCTCTACCTTCCCCTCCACAAAACCCCCCAAAGATTTTCATTGCCCTTATGAACTCCAATGCATCTTCTGAAAACAGCACAATTCATCAGTGGGCTAAGAATGAAATATTTGTTTTATTATGTTATCCTTTTTAAATAATTTATAGAGCATTTTGTCATTCTAATCATACAGAGTGTTTAAGTATTTAAATTAGGAGTTAAAAGAAACAATAAAACTTTTTATATTATCTATGAAGCAAAGGTGAATGCTGATCCTTCCTTCCTTCCTTCCTTCCTTCCTTCCTTCCTTCCTCCCTTCCTTCCTTCCTTCCTTCCTTACTTACTTACTTACTTACTTACTTACGGTAAACGCTGATCCCTCGAGTTAAGTATTTAAATTAGGAGTTAAAAGAAACAATAAAACTTTTTATATTATCTATGAAGCAAAGGTGAATGCTGATCCTTCCTTCCTTCCTTCCTTCCTTCCTTCCTTCCTTCCTTCCTTCCTTCCTTCCTTACTTACTTACTTGCTTGCTTGCTTGCTTACTTACTGTAACCCCT